CGTATAGCAAAGTTCAAACTGACTTGAATGTCGTGAAAATAAATGTAACAGTATGTTATTAGACATATTCTCACATGATAGATATAACTTCGACCTTGACATTCTGAAAAAAATTACTGATGTGCTTCATCGCAAACCTAAACACTCATGTTATCGAACTATAATTAGAAATCACTCTCTATTATACATATTAAAATATAAATTAATACTTTCAGTATCAATTTCCAAGCGAGGTTGGTATCATTTATCTGTAAAATGGTCATCATCATTTGTTATCGAGTTAAAAACTTAATTGAACTGTGTTTCTGTTGATTATGCGATTCGAATAGTTCATTAACTATTTTCAGTTTAATTGGAATTTTTATTAAAAGCCCGGCGATGGGTCGATTAGTATGAGTGTAATATCTGAAAGGATAGTGAAGTTTTGTGTTTTTTCGTTCTGTTTTAAAAACATCATTACCAATCGTATGTGTCGTTTGTTTTATAATTTGTTTCGCTCAAATGGAGGCGTTGGACTACCTTAAAGATTTTCTGGAAGGACAGGAAAGGCTGTGCTATAGGAATATAACTAATATATCTAAAGAAGGTGAATAATGCATGTTATTTGAAAAATTCAATAATGTTGGGTGAAATATATTATATGATTCGAGTTCAGGAATAGACATTAGCCTTGCAATTTTTTTGTAATAGTTTCCGTAGAAATACGTCAATAATTTTAAGGCATCGATTTTGCTACAGGGGGAACCTACCGGCAATTATTTTGCAAAGGGGTTTTCTATTCGCCAAAGAAAAATGTAGCTAGGGATATGAAAGACAAGCATGGAATTCTTGGAGTTGGAAAGTGGGTTGATAAATTTATGTAACTATGAGTTTGGTGTGAATTTATGGTATTTTGCCCGAGATGATTGATGAAGTAGAGTTGGAAATGGGTGTAATGCACAATTAACAGTTCAGAAATGCTGTTGAATTCGTTCCAATTTTTGGTTTATGTCCCTGAGTATGAGAGTATGTGCGTTGAAACTACGAAGACATGAACAAAATAGACAATGAATCGTTAACAACCCCTTCAGTATATTTTATAGGTGATTATTTACATTTTACAATGGTGAAATGTATTCTATACAAGTATCGTATCCGCAAATCAGATTTGAGACTGGGTTTNCACACAAAGGCAGAAATCTTAGCCGCACAGATGCAGAAGGCTGTCATTCTTGGCTCACTGCGTTTGCTCAGGGCACATGATGGGGGATGGTCATTGGTTGATTATGCTGGCGCGCCCTCCCGAATGTATCGGGGCTTCGGGGGATAGGGCCTGACCAGCGCACACTACGGTGAAAAAAAAAAAATAATCCTATCGTCCAATCGCTTTCCGAATCGGAAGGATGAAATCCCGGCCTTGCGGTTCAGAAGATTGAACGGCGTGTACACAAGATGGAGGCTAAGATCACGTCGGCGAGACAACACGCCAATGTGTGATGGATCACAGGGCGGCCAATAGGCCCTTCACGCCCGCAGTGCGGCGAATAGCCGCCAATCTACGACGTATCCATCACACTTTGAGTCAAGGCGTGCTGCTGACCACCAAACAATACTGTCTTGATAAGATACGAATGTTAGTGGCTGCTAAGAAGTCACTAGTGAGGCAAGCGGGAAGTATCGCGGAAAACCTTAGGTTCCGCGAGAAACCTTCTCGCTTATTCTAAGAGCCTCCACGTGTTGTGGATAGTCCGCCGACCGCTAATTAGGTGGAATCCTTCTGGAAGGATATCTATGAACACCCGCAGCCAGTCAACATAGACACTCCAGTCCTAGCGCAGTTCGAAGCTTTCATCATGATGGGAATAGAGGTTCCTGACACAAGGTGTCAGGCCACGTTATGTCCATCGACATAACGTGGCCCTAAGAGCGTTATATTACCATCTACAGTACTTTTGCGGTATTGACGAGACACCGGTGTTGCCCTACTCTCCGGGGGATATTGAATTTGTTGTGGGGAACGAGAAGTGCCGAATTTATTGGAACATTCGTTCCCCAACCTCAGGCTCGTACAAGCTAATACGTCTGATGTAGTCCTTCTCGACCAGCTGAGCAACATGATATTTGTCGTGGAGCTTTCAGCTCTTGGCGAGACGAATATTGTCCAAAAAGAGAAGGAAAAATAGATAAAATGTTGGGAATCTCTCTTCTAACTCCGCAGACTCTATCCAGACCACTTTGTCAAGATGCTGGTTCTGATTTTTGGAGACCTTGGTGGAATGATGCTCTTTTCATTCTCGAATCCTGAAATCATACCGGCTTGCCGTACTAAGGCAGAAATCTTAGCCGGCTGTCATTCTTGCTGGCTGTCATTCTTGGCTCACTTCGCTTGTTCAGGGCATATTATTCTCGAACCCAATGATCACTTACCCCACGGTGTGGGGAGTGGTCGTTGGGTGATAATGCTGGCGCGCCCTCACGAATGTATCGGGGCTTCGTGGGATAGGGCCTGACCAGGGCAAACTACGGTAAAGATATGTTCATTCTCAACAAGTTTACACCCACAAATAGAGAAAATACAAAAAATTTTAAAGAATATATAAAAATTAATGAGATTACAATAAGAAAAATAAACTGTTTGCTATCATATCACACAGGTCGGACACTTTATTGAACAACTCATATATTACAAATATCGGTGACTTTTTTCAATAAATGTGTCCTAGGACTCCTAATGTAGAAAGTAACCATATGCCTGGATTGTGATCTAGATACAATAAACTGAATTTGTCTTAACAAGTCACTACAATAAATTTCGTTATTCAAGAGTTTAACTGGAAACATACTTGATCTCGGTGCGTTATCTTCTATCTCCTGAGGCTTCTAAGTTGAATGTATCTAATGAAATATTCTGGTCTGTGACACTAGCTGGAACAGATTCTAATCGCTGAACGGAATTTTGATATNAACGCCGACGATACAATGTAAGTTATATGAGTTTCAAATGTAAGCTTTTGATCAAACACGCCCTCTAAATCTTTAAACGTGTCACCGTATTATTTATGGAATATGCGAAAATTATTGGATAAGGTTTTATGTAGAAAGACAGTAATTTGCATTTACCTACATTGAGTTGAAGTTTGTTCTCACTATACCAGATTTCAACTTCATTAAGCTAGTCCTGTAAATGATAGCAGTCGGCTCTGAACTGAGCAGTCGTCTCTGAATAAATCTTTAAGTCATCATCGAAAAGTAAATGAGGGCGTGTGATCCTTACCGAAATGTCATTTATGAAAATTAGGAATAGGAGTGGCCCCAGATTAGACCCCTGGGTCACTCCAGAATGGTTCGACTGTACCCCTCCATATCCGACAAACTGAATGCGATCTGACAGATAAGATTTGAGCAATCCTTTTAAAGAACTAGAGAATATGATTTTTTGAAGTTTGAAGCATAAAATTATTGGTTCTAAAAGTATTTTTTGTGTAATTTAATGTTTATATGGAAGTAGTTGTTTCGAGAGGGTTTTTCTCCAAAACCAAAACCAAAAATTCTGTATTGCCTATTTCTCTATAGTGAATTGAAGGTCCAATGTACAGAGTATATATACAATATTTACATCTCTCCCACAAACGGGAGTGGGTGGGGGACAGGATAAGGGTTGGCACAGGAAAGGGGAGGACTATCAGGATCGAGCCCCAGGACGTCCACAGAGTGAAACGCCACCTCATAAACCCACGACAGGCCAAGGGGAGGTGCCTTCGCTGGTGTTAACGGGTGGCTCTCTGCCCAACAGAGCCTCATTTGAGCATTCAGTCTAAGACTTCTCGCTTCCTGCCGAGGTTTTAAAAATTGTCTTTTATTGCATATCTACGACATAAAACGAACCCACATACAAAATTTCAGCCTGAAATTTCAGTGCTGAAAATCAATTTTCATATGTAAACGCGACCCTTCCATCCCCCCAAGTATTGCTGAACCATCTCATCTCATGGTGGGACTATGATATTAGTGAAAGATTCGGTAAGAAATGAACAAGGGTTTGAAAATTGTGATAGTATTTATGGTTGTATTAACCATTTGCTTCTTGAAAAAATTTTTGAGCTTCCTGTAGTATATTCAAAAAGTGAAATACTTATATTTTATGTATTTATCGATCACCTTCTTCTGACATCAACACCTTCCTTTCTCAACTCGAATCACTGCTCATAGAAATTCTTACAGGGGACTTTAATATTAATTTTGACGAAGCTGAATCGATTTTAACGCAGTCGCTGATGAATCTATTAACTTCTTTTGACTTGAAAATGTATTTTGATATTCCAACTCGTATAACAACATAGTAATTCGATTATTGATTATGTATGTAGTATCTTTGACGATAATTTNTCATTACAATTTTTGTCACTTCACTCACATTTTCCGGTGTAACAGCTTCCACAGGTCTACCCGAGCGTTCTGCGTCATTTGTGTCGGTACGACCACGTTTAAACTCGGCAAACCACCGACAAATCGTTGCTTTTGATGGACAAGAGTCCGGGTAACATTTTTCAATCCATTCTTTCGCTTGCACGGTGTTTTTACCCATTAAAAAACAATGTTTTATCAGAACACGAAACTCGGTTTTTTCCATTTTTTAAACAAACTACAAAACGACTTTACTCTAACCTCGATAACTCAGCTGTTTCTGGTCCGATCGACTTAAAATTTCGACACGTTTCAAGCAAAGGTTAGTACTCTAGAAAGACGTGGTTACTGGTTTACTAAGAGCGCCATCTCTGGGTTAGTCTCGGGACTTATTGATCCATGTAGTAATACATTCAAAATACTCCATAGCCAATATTTCTCACTACAGAATATTGCGAAAAAAATCCTGGATATTATTATGACTGTTTTGTCACACTAGTAATCCTACATTCAATTGAATTGATGAGGTGGAAAATACTGGAGTATTATTTGTATAATCCGAGATAATGAATATTTGGTAAATAGTATTATCAATTGAATTCGCGTTATATTTATTTATCTGATTGTCTGTCACTTGATAAGACGGTAGAAGTAATTTTCTCTAGCGCAGAAGAAGGAACTAATCCATGATTAGTCCACGAGTGAATTTAGTGTTGTGTTTATGAAGCTTCGTTCAGTCGCAATGTCGAAACTAATATTCATGTGTTTGTTTATATGTTTTCAATCAGTAGTGAGTGAAATTTGTTCGAACTCCAGCGAAATTCAGTGTTTCTGCAACCAAGTGACAGATTGGGAAACGGGTCTGCCCCAAGTCAGAGCCGACTGTTCTGTAATGAATATTGAAAGCATCCCTGACCGAATCGAGAGCGATCTCAACTTTCTGGATCTCACCGGAAATAACATCCGAGTTTTGGACCCGAAACTCCAGAAACTTTCCAGTTCAAACTTGAACGTATTGATTCTGAAACTGAATCAAATCAGCAAGGTAGACAGCGAGTTTTTCCTAGCACTCCCAAATCTTTCCGAACTAGACCTGAGCGATAATTACATCACCTCACTCGATCACCAGATCTTTCAGAATCAAAACAACCTTCACAGATTGGATCTGAGTTACAACAGAATCGAAACACTGCCAGATAAGATATTTCAGTCGATGGGTAAATTGAGAGATCTCGATTTGAGTTACAACCACCTTGGAAATACTCTCAGAAGGGCAGGAACTTTCACAGGCCGTTTAGGGGTGACACCTAACCTCACTCATCTAGGTTTGAATGGTTTGAATATCACAGTGCTACCAAGCGACGCCTTCGATGGATTCAAGAAGCTGGTTTCCTTGCATTTAGCCGACAATAACTTTACGGATATACCAAATGTTCCGTATTCTCTTGAGAAACTTGATTTGTCTCTCAACAGATTCACTTACCTCTCCGCGAAATACCTAAACTATCCTTCCCTCAAAACACTTGAGCTCAACGGACTGCCGTTCCTGAGGAGCATTCACCATTACGCCTTTTACAACCTTTACGCTCTGGAAAAGTTGACTATAAGGTATTGCCCCAATCTGGAGGAATTCAGTGAGCTTGCCTTTGATGTGGTTTCCAAGGATACCAGCCACAAACATTTCAAATTCCTTTCTCTTGAGGGTAACGGGCTCAGAACGCTCAACGCGTCTTACAAAGCTTTCTTCCGACAAATGAATCATGTTGACTTGAGACACAACCCTTGGAGGTGCGACTGCGATATTCTCTGGATTCAGGAATTCTCAACAATTCTTTACAAGCAGGACGAAATTAGGTGAGTTTTTTATGCAACAAAAGTTGGTGAATAAAAAAAAGAAATACTTTGGATTGGAATTCGAAACATCCACCTGGCTGAAACCACGGCGGGCATTTGGCAATATCAGACATACAAGTAGTTCTGCGTGCAGCAACTGGACCCCACTGAAATCAATCGGGTGGTTCACCCACAGACCGGTTTCGTCAGTGGTTGGCATATCTGACCAAAACATCAGTCCACCGCATATACAAAACCTTCACATAAGACAGGATTTGTTTGTAACTATAATGAAGTACCAGGAGTTCCATCCCGTGAACAAAGCCCCGAGTACTTGATGAACTTAGTTGAAACAAGTTTGTCCTGTCTCAATCGAAGTGTGAGGTCAATGAAATTCAGTACTAGCTAGTTCTGCAGTCTTGGTTAGATTCATCTTCATTGACGAATCCGAAACCGGTCTGTAGGTAATTGCTGCTGGTCGAATTTCCTCTATGAACAAATCTGAACAAATGTCTATCAGGTACATCACGTGGTGATTTATTATGGTGTACACCTGTTCAAACTCTACCAAATAGATCTAGCTTTTTAATGAAGCCGATTACTTTATTCAGTGATTTAAGTCAGTTGATTCGCTCCGTATCAGGCAGGCAGAGTGATCTGCTATCAGGAGCTGAATTTCCTTGCGAGAAATAATCCATTGCAAGTTTGACAGGAATCTGATAGGTAGTCAATCTGCAACTACCTTCGACAGGTAGGTGAGCAACACAAATTCGTGGCTTGGGAAGTAGGATTTTTGTGACGCGTTCAAGAAAAACGCCCTTTCTATAGCAGCAGAGTGCCAACTATCATCTCCTGGATGGTGCAGCCATCCAAGCTGGAAAATGCAGCTCTGTGTTTTTTGAAATACCCTCCACGGTAGCCACAATGACACACTGAAGAGATTGCATTCGATTGGTAGATATTCAAGTTGTTGGATGTTCAAGGTGCAAAATTCCCACTTTAATTAACGCAGCAATCTTTCCATCTGTAACTCAGCTATATCTGACGATAAATTCAGCCATACAAGACCTCTAGTTGTGATTGTTTGAGCGAGAGCATTTGTGGATCTACGAATTTGGTGACAAATCCATAAGATACCTTACTCTTCATGGGGCGATAAGTCGCTTTTTTGCTGCACCACCTACACTCCTAGGTTCTCTAACAGAATCAAGAGTTGCAGCTCTGGCTCTTGCTCCAATGTTACAGGGAAGGCAGTCGTTTAGTCGATGTCTATCTCCTCTGTAGACTCAAGGATCGGATTCTTCGATTACTTCTTGGGCCGTAAAGGGTCCCGCGAGTGGCTAAGAAAAAGAGGTACATCACGGTAGAGTTTCGCATTATGTGATAAGGCTTTCTACGGCGGAAAGGCGCCTGTTATCACGAAAGTTCCGTTTGAGACACTGGAGTGAATCAGAGTCATGCATACTTTCGGCAGGATACACACAGCTTAGGAAGAGCCGTCATCCTGTATCGCGCCTCCCCAAGCAAGGAGGCGCGTCAGATATAGGATATAAAGTAATATAATCTAATAACTGTCGTGGTATTAGCCGGGAAAGTAGTTACAATAATTTGTCAGCTCCTAATATGGAAGAGGTGAAAAAGTACTTCGAATTTCAGTTCTTACTATTTATTTTCTTATTACCTATGTATGTCTGCTCAACACAGTCGTCAGTCATCGTTTCTGTTTGTGATTAAAGACAAAATACTGTATATCACTCAGAAAAGTGAAATAATTCTGAAAAAAACTCTTGATAATCGTCTCTGAACATATTTCAAAGTACGATTCTGTACTAAATACATGGTACACATTTTTTTATTGATTTTTAGTGAATTTCAAATAGCAACATCATGATGAAACTAAAAAAATTCAGGATATTCGCGATAGGTATTGTCTGACCAACAATAGGTTGGATGTCATAGGTTTTCCACTTACGTTTACGCAGTTATTTTTATCAAGTACTTTTCTTGGTTATTCACATTTTGTTTTCAATCAAGGACCGCAGGACAATATTTCGATAAAATTTATTATCATCGTCAAAGAAGAGCTACAAAATTTGTATGATGATAGTACAATATAAAATGATAACAAAAGGTTCAACTTACTGTTAGTGGGAATGGCCGTGTCGAGAAGAATGTTACATTTGAACAATTGAAACATGTCAATACAATAGAACAAGTCACTACAATAGAACAAGTCACTACCTTAATATAACTTACACATTACACTAATATAAAGAAAATTATTGTATTGAGTTACTAAAAATCGTTATTTGTTTTAAAATTATGGATTATCGGTAGAAACCATGTAGATAGAGACAACAAATAATTGACACTGACAGCTGTCATGTGAATCAGTTTGAAAAAAGTGTTTGTGTGTCTATGTTAAAACTATGGAACAAAAAATAAGAACTTTTAAGGTACAAGTGTGATCAGAGACATCTGCTTTTATATAAGCAAATCAATAAGAAAACCCAATATCAAATACATCATAAATTTATAATTAATTATTCGACAACACCGTTATTATTAGTTTTGAGGAAGAATTAAGAAGTGTTATTAATTGAAAGTACCTAAAACCCGGCCATAGGAAACTTTGTTTCAAAATATTAAAAAATGTTATGAATTATATAATGAAAATGACCTTTATGTATAAGTATTTGTTTCAAATACCTTCCAAATATTACCGATTTTATGCGTACATTAGGAATTATTTATGGAAATACATATTATAAAGAATCTATGATTGTGGCCCCATCTTTGGCAGAATAGCCTTATTAGTTTTCCAATATTCAAAGAACAGAAGAGTATGGAAGAGTCCTTAAAAATATATAATACTGATACTGTGCCAACTATGGCAATAGATGGCACAAATGCGAAATTAGTGCTTCAAAGGTTTTTGTATTTAAAATGGTCAGAAAACATTGTCGACTAGTTGCTATTCATTCGTAATTTGAATTGAAACAAATATCAAAATAAAAATAGCTAATCTGTTTGTAGGAATCACACGTTAAAAGGTAAGACCACATTTTACATTCAACCGAAGAGTTCATTCTTCATTTTTCCCGAAGATGGTGAATAATAATCAATAGATATTTTGTTCAGTGGATATGAAGAAGAAAGGAAAGTCAAACTCTAAAAAAATCGTTTATTCAACACACGTTATCCATTCACAAACAGTAATTTATAAAAAGCTACCTACAGTACACGTTTCACCGGAAAAAATTCAAATACTGTTCCACAGCAGCGCTATAGACATGGCTTTACATTACTTACAAAAATTGCACAAATATGAGTATTACTCTTCTTTTTTCTGAACAAATAACTGTGTGTGCGTATAGTCAGGAATGCATCAGCTGCAATCACGAATAACTTTTACAAGTACATTGTCATAAACTATGGACACAAGGGAGTACTTTCTCATAAACGTATTCTTAAAAATATTTAGAAGAATAATAAAAGAGAAACAAAACAAAAACAGTGTTTTTATTACTTTCAATGATTATTCCATTGATCATTTTCAGCTAAGGTCTGATAGTTTATGATACTAAACTCAGAGAGATCAAAATTCTTTAAATTTGTTATATAGAAATTGTTAAGAAAATAGATATCAAATGGAGAACTGAAAATAATAGAAAAAATTTAATAGAGAAAATGGATATTAGAGCATCGGAGATAAAGTATTTACAAAAAATCAATTATTTTCGTAGCCAACAGCGAGCAATTATGTTTTTTGATGAAAGAAACCTTCATAGTTGACATACGTCTTCCAAGAACTGGACGGCCAAAGGGTTATTCAAAAATATTGTGAAGGGACCAAGACTCATTATCGTCCATGCAGGAGATAACATGGGCTTTATACCTAATCGTCCCCTTATATATAAATCAGGCACAACATCAGGGGATTATCATTCAGAAATGAATTCTGAAAATTATGGTAAACGGTTACAAAAAAGCTAATCCCAAATTTACCTGTGAATTGGGTAGTCGTGACAAATAATGCTCCATACCACAATATTCAAATAAATCCAGCCCCCAACACAAATTCTAGGAAGGCTGACATGGTGAAGTGGCTCCCAAAAAAAAATTATGTTCTCCCCTAACACGCTAAAATCCGAATTATATGTGTTGATCAAGGTAAATAAAAAGGATCATATTAGAGACATAACGTTTCGCAACTTCCACCCTAGCATCCGGATTTGAATCCCATTGAACTCATTTGGGCTACTGTCCCAAAAGAATGTTAACTTTCAAGTTGGAAGATGTGAGGAAACTGGCGGAGCACAAGTTTGATCAAATCACTTCCGAGGAATGGCGAAAGCTTTGCTGACATGTAGTAGATATAGAGCGGAAATTTTGGGAAAATGAAACATTCACAGACGTTCAGAGGTAAATCCAGTGATTATAAATTCAAATGACGATAGCAGCACAAGCAGCAGTGAAGATAAAGAAAATTTGTATTCAGATAGCGACTGATTAAAGATTACTTTTGGATAAGTGTATCATTATATAACATTTTTTCTACACCCGTACTCTAACAATACACTTATATGACCATAATCCGTTTCATAATGATATCCATTGCATACCACGGCCAACAAACCCGGAAAATAGTTTCAACACACTTGTCTCCGGCCATAAATGTTTACAATATTTATAAATGTTGGTGGATCACATTACCTTGTGCTGACTCAATATTATTTGTTATGACTGAAAACTTATGACAAGTTACTTACAACTTGTGACTTATGACTCAAGACTAGTGCATGAATCCATCTGAAAAGTTCTTTCTGGTATTTTATTCAACAGTAAAAATGTCAACACACCTGTTTTCTCAATTGCTTCTGTACATCCCTGTGGTCCACTGTAGAAAAAATAAATACAAATATCAAAAATTGAGCAGAAAATATACATATAAATAATACAGTTGTATAAATAGTACAAATTTTAAAATTATATAAAAAAGTACATGACTTATAAATGAGATTTCATTAAGTACATCGAGTTATTTTTTTATTACTTACTTGCTAGGTAAAAAACTACCAAACTTGAGTATTTATGAAAATAAATGACGCATTATATTATGAATATGAACAGTTCATACTATTTTCTAGAATAGTAAAAGATTCTCTAACTGAGGTTATATATTGGAAAAAATTGTTCACATTGTTTAAAGCTTTCATTAAAAATAACATTCCAACTTTTCTGTTTTTATGTAACGATATGGAAGAAGTGAATATAAAATCATAGTTGCAATTCCAGAAAATTCACAAATCAAGTAACATACTCTCAAATGTTTCAATTCGCAAATGTTGATAAATGAAATTAAGAAACTGGATTGTTGAGATTTTCAAGGTATGTTTAAGCTTTGCAGTGTAGTGAGATCACCACATACTAATATTTTTCAATAACATTTCATTTTCCTATCATAATTTCGCAATACCAAAAACGCTAGACCCCTACAAGGTTTTTTTTTGTGCAAATCAATCACAATAACGTTAATACCTTTGTTTTATGAAAGCAACTTGCTTCAAGCTTTCTAAGTGCATTAACCTAAATTTGACACACTGTCTACTGAATTGGAAATAAATTATTAAATATAGGTTCATGATGTATTACAGTGTTGCCTCAATTTTAGTTAAATTTCCATTCGAATAAATTAGTAACATTACATTCCCATATTCCTGTTACTCTCCTCTACAGCATAATAAAAAGTTCATAGTTGGAAAGTTTCCTAATGTTGCCTCCTCTAAAAGCAACTTTCGGAAGTTAATAGTGGGAATTATATACAAGTTAATGATACCATCTAGTGTTAACAATCATAACCAAGTGGGCAGCTTAATAGTTACCCTTTCCTTAAGGAAATTATTGTTAGCAGACCTAACTTTGCTATAATTACAGAAAGGAATTTGACATTCCATTGCGAGAGAGTATATGTTCCATCCTTGTTTCCAGTGAAGCCAATATAAAGTTTTTACTTCCGCTGGTCTAAATATAAAAACCCTATCAACAGAACATTGAAATACAAACGAGCAACATTCTTCAATATTGTGACACGTGTTGCGGTTTTGTAAGCTAACAGTTCTATTATATTTTCAAACTTTTTGGTTTGTAACTATTAGCAAATTCGTAAAACAACAAGAACCTTCATAATCTAGAGTTTATTCAAAATGAGTAATAAAAAAAATGTATAGATTTTTAACTCAAATTACTGTCAGTAGTCAATGTGTCAAAAACTTCGTTTATCTCAGAATTATCATTTGGATATGTCATCAGGTATCTGAATAATCTTACTGAGGCAACTTAGTATGGAATAGTGATACTCCAAAAAATAAAACAGTCAAAAACAAATTGAATTTACAATTGTATCAGATATTTTTTCAATGAATTTACTTATACTTATGAATATTCATGTCAATATATAAAGGAAGGTGTCCAGTGTAACAGAGCTCCCCTAAGTTATTTGACAGATATTGAAATTCCCAGTTGAATGAAAAAATAAATAGACAATTCAAAATGCTCTTCTGGTTCATTATCAATAAAATAGATCATTCAAGTGTATTCCCCCTGAAATAAAATTCTTCAAACGCCACTGTCAGTTTTCACGGTTTTTAAACTGATTATTTTATTGAATCACATTGATGATGTAAGAGAAATCGACCATATCAGAAAAGGATTTTTCCTGAGTTGGCTACTTTGTGTATTTGTTGTTTGTGTCAAATGTCAAGTTAATTCATAATTCAATTTCATATTACATATCACTTTAAACAAATATCAAGAAAAATAAATGGAAAATCTATGAAATAAAAATGACTTTCTAAGTAAAACTCAAAGATACCCAATACAAACACAAATGACATAAATGTCAATACTAACATCATTGACATATGACAATTGACACTAATGACATATACACAGAGGGCCAACCCAGAAAAAATTAATGTGCTACAGATGGTCTCCATTTGGTTCACAATTAAGGTTTGAATTGAAGGAAACTCTATAGCCTAGTATTTCAAAATAATAGGGAAGAACTAAATTCAGCTATATGCTTTATATATGTACAGTTTGTCAACAATCAGACAGGCTCGTAGGATTAATACAAGTTGTGCAGAGAAGAAAAGAAGCAACAAGACTACAACTGCTACATGACTAGCAAGCATTGGAAGGCGAGGTTTATACAGCATATTTTCTACTGTTGACAAATTGCAGAAAAGTATATTTTTTACTAAAGTTTGAAAATTAATTTTCAAAATTTGTTTTGAAAACTGAGTTTGATGAACTTTCATGTACACTTTATAAGTTTCCTGAAACAACTGACTTGTACATACTATTCAATCCAACTGAATTTCAGAGATAAACGAACTTAGTTCAATACTCCATTACCTAATTCAAATACAAACATCGAGTCTAAATGTCAACCACTCAAGAAGGGCACTTTGATCTCACTTCTTTATACATATTTGGAAAAATCACACAAACAATACTATACAGTGTACGTTTAAAAAAGTTCGCCAAGTTTTTTTGGTCTCGTATTAACCTAGCCAACAAAAAGATATGCGAATCAAATCAGTCTATCGAAAGACCTTGAAGTTTCCAAGGGTCATACAGACGTCTCTGAATTCAATCTCAAAACAAACTTATTGCTCTTAGGATCCATCACTTCTTCGGTAATATTGAAATGAGGCATTTTCTTGATATTGCACAACAGAGACACGTCATTCTGCCTCAACTGGAATATAATGCCGTCTCTTATAGGCCTTGTCAAGAGTTCGTCGCAAATCAATGCCCATGTCTGCACGTCTTTCTTTTCCTTGTCGTTCTGTAAAACAGGTTCGCTGACTAGATAAGTCTCTAAAAACGCCTTAGGAGTCAGGTCGTTACTAAGGCAGTTAGCCAAGTGTGTTAGAATACTTTCGACTGAATGCCTCGGCTGTTGTCGAGTAACTCTCAGATATTTCTGCAGAGCCCTCGCCATGGAAGGAAAAATCGCCTGAGCGGCTTCGTGAGGATCCATCGGGATAGCAGGCACTTGGTCATTGTGCAATCGCTTGATATGAGTAAATGCTTCTTCGGCAGCTGTAATCAATCTTGCCCTGCGTTTCTTGACCCTTCTTTCATACTCGTGTTCCTCATAAAACCGTTCGTTATGGCTGGAGTCCCGCCTTCTAGCATGTGCTGCTAGCATAGCCCTAGATTGAGACTGCTGAATCTGAGAACTGTTCATCCCATCGACCTCGTAGAACTTGAAACTGGACGAAGTTTTACGAGACTTAGATACTGGAATGCGTTCAAGATACGGATTGTAGATGGGGAATTCTGTGTAGTACTTCTCAAGAACCCAAACGGCAGCCCGCTGAATACTCAGCTGCCCTATTGCAAAGGCGCAACTGGCTCCGTCGGGACTACGTACTATTTTTATGTAATACGTAGGCTGCAAGTGTCTTATTTCAACCAAAACTACAGCTAAATAGTGAATGAATAGCAAGGTGTCAGTCAAGCTGGAGGCATAAGCCACCAGAGCCTTGTAATCCACGGTTTCTTCAGGGGTTATTGCTGCTCGAGCCGTCTCCGTGACTTGCACAATATAAAACAGCCAATAAGCGAAAGTGCACACCAGCACCAGTGCCAGAATGCCTGTTCTGAATAAAAAAAACCTAGGGAGCGTAGCTTGGGGTTTCCGTAGAAACACCGCCCAAGCTCCTATCGCTAATATAACCAGTTTGAATGCCAAGGAAACCAGCTGGCCTTTGCATTCTGAACCGCAAGCTAATAACTTCGCACTATCCGCTAGGCCCAACTTGGAAGTTAAAGCAGGAAAAAATCCCAGCTTGGGCAATACCACCATAGCAAAAGGACTCAAGAATGCTATAAGAGATACCATATAAGTTAATGTTGCTCCCATATATCGTTGGCACATGAAGCTCAAACCGGTGTCGGGTTCGCCGGGCCAATTACTTACGTCTTCTGTGGATTCGGATTGTTCGGAGGTATTTCCGGTTATGGCAGTGGTATTTTCTCCCCAATTGTCATCTTGAGGAAGAATTTGAACTTCTATGATTTCGTGACCGTCTCTTGATCTTTTTTTACTGAAAATAATCTCCATCTTATCCACAATGAACTAATCAATTGAAAACTCTAACAATGAATTGGTGAAATTCATCTGATAAGAAAAGGAAATGCGCATATTGTTACGAAATTAGATGGCCAACGTATTCTATATACTTTAAATACTTTTTTCTTTTTACAAAATGGTATCAACTGAAATTAGCGCAGTTTTGAGTAATGTTATTCTTGTGGGGGTGCCATATGCAGCTCATTGTGAATAGTGAACTTGGTAATAAATAAGAGAACCTTACCTTGTGCTTCGATGTGAGTGATGTCTATAATTATTCCTGTCCCTGTGACTCCTGGACCGCCTAGACTTGGAACTATTCTCTGATTTTACCGATTCAGTCTCCATGTCTCTAGCAGTTTCATTTCCCATATAAAACAATAGAGTCGAGACCGTTGGAGTCGCATGGAGTATCAATATTATTTGGCTTCTAGTTCTGGTTAAGCCATAACTGTTTCCATGAGCATATCACCAATAGATTGGCATATTGATGAAAATTTTTATTATCCTGAAAATCATACCAAAATAAACCTTTTTTCTAGTTGATTTTTACTCAGTTTTGTATCACCTTTGGCATTAGAGACACGGGAAGTGAGACCTCTTGGGAACCATCACTGAAATAAATTAGCCCATCAAATATAAATTAAAAAAAGAATAACTTGAAAATAAATAGTCGTTTTCAATACACGTAAGATACGATAGAAGCAAAGATCACTTACAGACGCCAACATTTTTAATGGTTCGTTAATCCAATTATACAAAAACAACAATCAAACAATTCTCTCATATTTGACGTTGACGACCTCTAATGACATCAAGGACATCTGACAACGACAAAAGACAAGTTGTCAGTCATAACACATCAGTCTTGTCAAAATCACTGTGGTAACAAAGTTGCATATAAACCACAGAACCTCTAAGTTATAGCTCTGTGATATAAACCAGTGTTTCCAATGACCCGGTGATTATCAGGACCGTGGGTAATTACCAAATTCATTTGGGGTAAGTACCGGGTGATTGAACTCACGATAGGGTAAATATCCTGGCATTATTTTGAATAATGACATTGACTGTTCCTGATTTTCGGGACTGATTGCCAACTGATTGAATATAACACCCAGTCACTAATTAATCCTTATCAAATCTGATAGGCGTATTGCTATTCGCACATTTTGTACCGAATTACTTAGGCATTGCATATTCAGTGTATTTTTATCTTTTTTTTCATCATCACATCCACTAATTGTGGAGTTCTGGAGTTCTTCCGAAATAATTTGCTGATGGGTGTATCAGTAGAGAAGTTCAGCCGTTTCGCTATTTATTCACTTCTTTGCGGCTTTTGAAATCGAATTGGACAATTTTTTCAAATTGAGCCTTGAGAAGTAAAATCGTAGATGACAAACATTTCGTATCAATTGACGAAAAGATTGACGTTTAAAGCAGCACAATTTTTTTCTTTGAACATATATTTTCATCTGAAAACACTTGACTTTTTGAAAATGTTGGGTCATTGCAAAAATCTCGACGTGAGAAATGAGATTTACCCAATTTTGTACACATGTTGATAGATGAAACAAGAATTGTTTTCGAATGTAAAATTAGTGTGCCCTCTGTGAATGGAATGCCATATTACGCTGGTCTCTTCATTTTATGAAGAACCAAGAATGCTGTAGGTTCCAATCAAAGAGTAAACTATAGGCTTGTTCTGGTTCTCCGCCGGGATTGTTCCTAACAGTCACCCAACTGAATACAGAACATTTTGTTGCGTTAACTTTTTCAGTCCACAACTGACTCACTGATTTTGGTCTATTCGATACAGTCCGAACTCATAACCAGAACAGACCGTATGTACTTTTTTGGTTCCAATATCCCGTGACCGTAGTTGTCTTGTTTTTTGAAATCCGAGTAGCCGTTTCTGTAAACTCAAGAAAATAAATATCATAATTTCAATAAAAATGTTATTGGAGACGCAATACAGTTTTTGGCTACCTATGTTCAAAATACTCAGCATTCATGAGCGTGGAATTTATTTCAGAGTACAGGAATCCCCCAAAAAATGTTAGAATGTCATATCAGTGTCCCTTCTTGCTGAAACATAAGGGTCTGCCTGGCCTATTTCACCAATCACAGACCTGATTCGATTTTACAGTATATCTTGTGAATCTAAATATTGTGTCTGCCTTTCTCAAAATAAATGTGGGTTCTCATTACACCAATAACTTACCTTTTGCCTATTTACTAATTGTTCCATTGAAAAACTATATTCATCAATAAACTGCTTCAAATTTTTTTCGTCAAAGATCGAGAGCAAACCATTGTATAAAAAAACGCTGGAATAACAAAAAACTAGTACAGTTTTCTTTAAGGTTTTTGGTTATAAAAACACAAGAGTAATACGTTTTTGACATGAGGAATAGCTTTCTCAGGCAATAACGTAAAATCATAATCTGGAGAAATTAATTATTAGAGAGAACTCATTATTGTCAGGAAATGAATTGAAAAAATTTTGAAAATTTGGCATAGAGAACCTTCAGCAACACCCGGGATATACAGAATTTCTTGTAGCTGCGGATCAGTTCATATTGAAACCATGAAAAGAAGTATATAGGTACTGTTCTCTCTGAATACAAAAGAAATTATCGCCTCAAACCGACAAATCAGCTGTAGACGAACTTTCTCTCAAAGAAAACAGTCACATTATCTCAATTGAAGACACAGATATACACAATAAAACTCAAAACTATTATCCAAGAATATATAGAGGCAATGGAAATTCAGATGCACAGGGATAATCTCTATAGAAAGGAAGAGGCAATGAACATTAATAAAATCTAGCTACCTGCCCTTAATTGTGCACAAACAAGGTAAGCTAATCGAAATAAGAGAAACCAAGCTACGCTCACCAACAATAATATAAAACCTGAGTCAAATACAGTATTGTAGTTTTGGCATTGGAAACATCTTGAGCACTTCGACAATTACTTCATCGCCTTTAATAATATCTACCGCAGTAGTAGACGGAACGTCAGACATAAACTCTCGCAGACCACGGCCAAAAAACCCGGAACACTTCGACACAGTGCTAATTTCGAACAAGACATCACGATTTTTTTTTCTATTTAGAAAAAGGTTGATAGTATTTTATTGACAGTGACTGATATCGCACCATCATATTCTTTCATCAAAAAGTTTCAAAAATACTTTTTATGTAAAGTTTCTATGATCATTACATCTTGTCATAGGGAGGTTTTTTATGTCCACACTGTATATATTCAATGTATGTTGTAGGGTACTATAGCAATAGCCACTTTTGCAGAATAACCCTGCAGGTATTCAAAAATTAAAGACGTGTGTGTGAATAATAATAATTGTGCTTTGTAACAAATGTTTAATGCGAATAGTTTTTCAAATGCAGAATTTGATTTAGAAAATATAAAGGGTTGAAATACAGCACCCATGAGAAATTATTCAAATAAAATAGGATTACTCGCATGTTTTCACTATATCATATACTTGACAATTAATAATCAATTTACTGGAAAATTCAGAGATAGAAAAGACAACGGAAAAGCAAAATTAGAACTTATGGTGCCTCCAAAAGTTCTCAAATATGACAACAGTCGAAATATTTATCTGTTGGCCATCAGTTATGTCTCAAAATAAAACAGTTCTCATTAATGATATACCCTATGAACGGCTATAAAATGAATAAATAACTTGTTAGTATGTAGCATGACAAAAAATGAGTGTGATAGCAAGTATTATCGTTAGGAAACTAACACATTTCCTCTGGCTTCTGAAGTGGATACAGGTTGCTCGTCTTGTTTTGGATTATCTAGACCCCTAAATCGGATATTGTGTTTTTCTCTGTACTCATTGATTTCTTGTCCCTTTTTAGCTATTTGTTCATGGAGTTTTTCAATGAATTCCTTCAATTTTTCCTGATTTGTAATCAAAACTGGTAGTACATCTTTCACTTTCCTCTCTGTTAAAATGCCCCCTATTAATCTAAAGCATTTTCTATCCTCATTCACGTTTTTCAATGTCTCGATGACCATTCTGGAAAAGACAGGTTATGAGTGTCAGAAATATAAATAGAATTTCAGGTAAAGGGACGTTACCAAGTTCTTATTTATGATAAATAATGATTAAAAATCAGCGTTTGATACTTTAATTCAAAATAATAAAGGTATCTAAGCAGAAAGTACTCACTTGTGTTCATTCAGATCTAATTCAAATTCTGATAATTTACCAGAAAGTGCTCTTTGTTCGGCTCTTAACGAATGAAATCCGCTTAATATTTCCTCTGGAGTATTACCTTTGTCTGACTTTTTCTTTTGATTATTTGCCATTTCGATGAAACAATTTCTTTTTTAGTGAAGATCGAGACGAGAAATTTAACCTCCGCACAACAGACAGATGACAGATAGAAACATGGAAATATTGAATTTGTCATTGTCAATTGTCATATTGTCAATGAGCAACGGGCACATAGTGAAGACAGGAAAGAGGAAGAGTTTATAAAATGGGTTTTACGAGCTAGAACCTACTTAGGACAAAGAAGTACCTAGTTAAGGGACAATTCATGTAGTCGTTATTTGCATAGCAAGTAAAAAATATACAGCAAAAATTCAATTTTGAAATGTTCAATTATTCTTCCATATATATCCGGAACCAGAACAGCTTAAGTCGATTTTCCTGTATCATTCTTGAGACCCCATTCTCAGACTCAGATTTGAATAAACGTTCATAATGTATCAGTAAGTTGAAACCATATGGAAAACTTTTATATAATCAATTTCAGGAAAAAAAATCTCATCAAATATTCTGTAAAAATTGAAACCTAAAATGCAACCATCCCTTAACTATTTATTTTAGTCGTATACAAGGTCAAAAAAATATGAATTTTGCTCATAAGTAAAGTAGGTATATTTATTTTTGACAATTTCGAAAAATATGATAAAAAGTTGATCACAATAAAAAATCACGTTTAAATATACAATTGCATTAATTTCAGATATTCAGATTTCATAAATTAATTTTCATGTACCTATTTTATAAATTCCAATGCATTTTAACAATCAACTTCAAACATTTCTTGTCAGTGCTGCCTAGATTATATGTACAATAATTGCAGTTATATTTTTGTTGGTATTGTGAAGAAAAATTTCGAGAAATAGAAAATATGAAATGATTTGATAACCGATAGTTCATTTTAGGTTCAAGTCCTTGCAGAAATTGGTTGTAACAAATAATAAACTTGGTAGTAGCATAGTATAAAGGTAATACTTTATACTACGGTAATAGTAAGGTTCGTGATTTTTATTAAAGACAATGTCTTTATGTACAAATATCTTCTGAATTTTCTTCACCTTTCCTGAAACGCAGAGAAGAAAGATCGAATATTTTGCCCCCTAAATTATGAGGTCACTAACAGAATTGCAGATTTTTATTATTTTTCAAACCTAAATTCAATTTTGGGTAAAAAAAAGTATTTGTTCACATTGATAAATGTCGACCTATTTGAGATATTTACCATTTTATTATACAGTAAGTTACGTGATTTACATACATACATATTTACCATCACAGATAGCATTATCAAGCCTTGTTGCTGCTCCTGTTAACCTTGGAAAAACACAACTGAACACCCAGAAAAATAACATATTCCACCACCCATAAAAACCTACATTTCTCTACAAAATTTTATAATCAATTGTAAAAAAAAATATCTAGATATTTTATAGTATTATTTATTTGCGTGTTAATGTGGTAACATAACACTACTCTGGACAGTATCAGCTAATTCGCATAGGGTACTATCCCAATTTTGTTGACCAATTTTTTTTACAGCAGATGTAACGATATTAGTGACCTTAGTAACATTCTGCTTAAACATCTTCAGTACATCAGATACAGTCACTTTCTCCCCCGTTTCCCTCCAGCAATCATAGTCGGTAGCTAATGCTATTGATGCGTAACAGATGCCTGCTTCTTTAGCTAGGACAACTTCAGGTACAGATGTCATATTAATAACATCACATGCCCAAGACCGATAAATCATGCTTTCAGCTTTGGTTGAGAACCTGGGTCCCTCGATAGCAACAACTGTTCCTGTTTTGTGTACAGAAATACCAAGTTCTTCTGCCACTTGGATTATCACTTCTCGTGTTCTTTTACAGAAGGGTGGTTCCATGGGTAAATGGCATACTCCAATTGGGTGGTTAGGTTCTCCATCATAAAATGTTTGCTTGCGATTGGATGTCCTATCAACAAAGTTATCTAAAATGACGACATCACCTGGTTTGATATATTCTTGTAATGAACCTGTTGCAGTTGTAGCAAGAATGTGAGTGCAACCTTCCTCTTTCAGTGCCCATACATTTGCCCTGTAGTTGATATTTCCTGGCATAATATCATGTTTCCTACCATGTCGGGCTAAAAGTACACATTCCACTTTATCTATTTCTCCTAGTATCAGTGCATCTGAAAGTGTTCCAAAAGGAGTGCATACTTTCTTTTCTTGTCTGTTCTTCAAAATATCCGGATCATCCAGTCCTGAACCGCCTATTATTCCAACCTTAACACTTGGCATTTTGAAAATTTTTGATTATCAAACCCTTGTATGCCGAGAATTCATAAATGAAGTAGTTTTAAAGGTGATCTTCAACAACCAAAGATTGTAACACTACTGTATCATCTTTTTATGGCAATGATTATCATTCATTTGTTAGATATGAAACATTTATAACACATAATTTTAAAAACTAATTGGGCATTTCTGAAAATCATTACATTATAGATAACAATTACAAATTACCATGAAAACCACAGAATACCATACAGAAGAATCAGAGAAAAGACACTCCGCACGGAATAGACTTCATCTTCTTCATTTATTGGCATCATCAACTAAGGCACTCCAGCCAGTTGTTAACGAATTTAATTTATAAAAACCAAGTGAGGACGCATTTAAATGAACCTAGGACACCTATCCATAAACCTTTTGACAGATAACAATCTTGAAGGTTTATTTCCATGTGATGAAATTTTTATGCTCAGACTTTTGTTAACCAAGCAATTCCGTTTCAAGTTCAACTATTTTCGAGTGAGTTGCTCTCAATCTAACAAATTGTTATTATTAATGGTACAGAGGTAGGAACGGTCATCCAATATTACATAATCCATACCTCTTTATGTTTAGGCAGAAAATAGAAAGAACATTGACATCCTTATAAATTTTACATAAAAATAAATCACAACAAAAAACACTATACTACGAACAAGAAAACTTTAGAAAAAAAATTAAAATAATTGTACCATTGTACTGTTCAAATATCCAATGATTTGGTTTTATAATTTGAAGTAAAATTGGGAAATCATTTCATATATATGTTTCAAGCTCATGCTGATCACTATCACTTTGTCCAGTGACTCATCCATACTCCCACCCAAAGTGATCATGCACAGGGTCGAACTTGCCCCGCTTAGAACAATATGATGAAAAGTCGTGAAAATAAATATGTATTTATAAAAATATAAAACTAGATAATAGTCACATTTCAATATCAAATACAATACATTGTTACTACATCATTGTGTTCAAGAAACACTTCATTGTGAGTTTTTTGCGAAACAGTTTTACAAAAACGCAACTGTTTCTTGTAGTAGAATACCTAAGATAGTCTAGACACGCCTGAAGAAGCTCTTGTGTAACAAAACACGTGTTGCGTTTTTGTAAAACTGTTTCGTGAAAATCTCACACAAATGTATTTCTTGAATACATTATAGATTTTGTTCAAGTAACGGCCGATTCCATCACATACATCATTGTGTAATTTTTAAGATTATCCACAATTGTCCTTGTCACAAAAAGATCAGCATAAACTAGTAGAACATAGTTTGAAAGCAATTTCAATCATATTTTGTGGAATACTGTCTTGATAACACACATATACTTCTTTAGGTTGTGGCATATATAAAATTCTCCTAAAAAGGAAAACAAAATAACATTTCATTCGATACAGTTTTCTGAAATTTTATTATAGTTATTTCTTAACATTTTTTCGAGCACCATCAATTCCTAACCTTTGCATAACTCCTATAAAATTGGTATGGTGGCCAGAGTAGGTGATATTGAACATGGCTTGTAAGAACAATATATAAAGGGAGTGAGAGATACCCGTTCACTTATTATTTAATGATTAGTTTATTGACTATTTGAAATTAAAAGTGAATTACTAAATACTTTGAAACATCACGCACTAATTTTACTTACCCCAAAACCCAATAAGTAATTTTACATTTCTTTTCCTTCTCATCCAAATAAGGGCAATTAAAAAGCATTCCATGTTCCTTTATTGCAATGAGACTTTTGTTCATCACAGACTTTGCCATATCTTGTGCAGGCATATTCTGTAAAAATTCAATACTACACAATATCTAATTAATCAACTTTTTTATTTAGCATCTATAAAATATCAATTACCCAAAGAAATTTCAATATGACTCATATTTGTTGAACCCACCTTGAACCTCAGGGTGTTTTGGAATAGCATATGCATTTTTAAAGAACATCTCTTGAAATTATCCATTATAAAAGAGTATGTTAAAGATGGATCTGGACTTTCTGGCGGACACAACAATATTCCTTTAGCGATGTCCAACTGAACGAAATGGTACAGAACATTTTCATTTCCGGAAGTTAGTTGTAGAGGCTGGAAGTCTTCTGTTTCCGAAAGAATGTACTGGCGTATTTCCGATATATCATAGCTACCTGTACTCATCTGGCTTCCTTCCTGTTGATATTGAAGCCAAAAAGTAAATACTAGGATTAAAGAGTATTCATTGTATTCAAATATTTCAAAGGCTAGTAAATATATTCAAAAATGCAGTTTAAGGGTTCCAGAATGGGGAAATAGATGTCAGAAGTGATTGAAGTAAAATATAAAACATAAACTGTGGATCTGTCCAGGAAAGAAAATCAAGTGGTAAAACTTGAATTAATTCAACTAACCTTTTCAGTACAAAAAAATAGAAGTGCCAAGTGCGATCTGATCTATGGCCCAAGTATCAACACCAAAAATACCTTCTCATAATTTCAAATCATAACAAAATCTAAGCAATAATTATTAAGTGGGTTGAAAAGTCCGTAAACTAAGACACAGATGGCGTTAGTAGTATTGAATCCGTTTGATTGATTGATTAGTAATATGTTTATTGTTTTAAGAATAAAATTATTGTTATAAACACAATGTCATATGTCATGAAGTATAAAATGTAAATGATTAAAATAAAATATAAACTTTATATACAAATTACATGACAAGAACTAGGACAACGAATAAAAATGTTTTTCACACACAGTACAATCGCAATTTCCACACATTCTAAATTACAGGGCATCATCAAAATATTCTTGTAGGTCATAATAGGCTTTATATACAAATTACATGACAAGAACTAGGACAACGAATAAAAGTGTTTTTCACACACAGTACAATCGCAATTTCCACACATTCTAAATTACAGGGCATCATCAAAATATTCTTGAAGATCATAATAGGCTTTATCACTTAATAGTTTTGTACATTTCTTTCTGAATATGACAAAAGGAGTCTCTTTGATTTCATTGGGAAGTTTATTTGTATATCCTAATTTCATTTTATATCAACAAGTTTTGAACCAAACATGTTTTTGGAATTGGTAGATTCAGTTCATTTGACTGCCTTGTGTGGTATGTGGCTGTAGCTGTAGATTCATAGTTCTCCCTATTTTTATGTATACTTGACACGATTTCCAATATAAATATTGAAATAACCAATTTTTAGTCAACCCTAACCTTCAAAAGGCACGTATATACATTTCACAGCTCATTTGTGAGATAAATTTCGTGTGTTAATAAAACATTGCTTCATGGCGAAAACAATACTGTCGAAGCCAAGACTTGGCTTCATAGCATTATTCGGACTTTGCACCAGGACAATCAACCGTTGAGAAGTGGTTTGCTAAGTTTAAACGAGGTAAAATGATGCAGACAGTGGACTCCCCAAAGAGGCTGTTACTGAAGAAAACATAAAAAAAGTCCACAAAATAATTTTGGATGATTGCAAAGTGAAGTTGACCGAGATAGCTCTAAATCGTGCAAAGACGCAACCACAGTAAAAATCAACCAGTAAGTCCACTCCCACTACTTTAATTCATAAATTCACAAAGTTCTCGGGGGACCTCGAAACGTTCTTTTACCATAGGCGTGCGCTCATATAATAATGTCTTTTTTACATCTCCCACTTAATTGCACTTAATAATAAAACAAACAATAACCAACTACAAAAATTAAAAACAATAATAACAACAGCGAATAAACTGAACACAATATCAATTTCCGATCGTTTATTATAACTAATCTGATGACCGTGGAACCGTCGAATCCTTCGATACTACAGCACTGGACGCGTTGGATGAGAATTTCATCCAAAGAGCAGTTGAAGATCCCCGGCAACTTGGGCGGATCACGTGGTAAGAGAGCCTACTGGTTATATTATTCTATTGTGAGGCAACAGTTGGCTGGCAAGGTTATGGTATTAGTATTTTGGAATGCGCATGGTTTAATATTCATAAACTATCTTAAAAGAAGAAAAACCTTCAACAGCGACTATTACATAGCGTTATTGGAGCGTTTGAAGGACGAAATCGCGAAAAACCGGCCCTATTTGAAGAAAAAGAAAGTGATATTTTCTTGAGAGAATGCACCGTGTCACAAATCGATGAAAACGATGGCAAAATTGCATGAATTGGGCTTCGAATTGCTTCCGCAGCCTTCGTATTTTCCAGATCTAACCCTCAGCGACTTTTTTTCTCAGACCTCAAAAAATTGCTCAATGGATAGAAATTTGGCGCCCATGAAGAAGTAATCGTCGAAACTGGGGCCTCTTCTGAGGCTAAATACAAATCAAACAATAAAAATGGTATCGAAACATTGTATGACCGCTATTAATGCTGTATCGACCTCGAAGGCAACTATATTGAATAAAAAAATCAAATTTTATCAAAAAAAATTTGTTTCCCTGTTGTCCTACGAACTTTTAAGCCCCACTGTTACATATACAAACTAACCACTTACAGCATAATCCTCAGGGTCAGAGTCTTCCTCAGTGGAGTCGTACTTCGAGCCCCTTTTAAGGTTTCTCCGTGAATCATCGCTTATCTCACTATAACCTCCCTGACTACCAGAGCCTTCGGACTGGCCATCGAAGGAATCATCTTGGAGAGAGTTAGAAGAACTTGACGGTGCTACGTAATTCTGATCACAACTTCTTTTCTTCAATATCGATGTTACCTCGCTTTTTTTGGGCGCCGACAACGAATCCTGTCAATTATATAATTGGATTCATTCGATTAGTGACACTTTTCATGGTTCTATTACCTTGACAGATGCTGAGCCTGCCTTGGAGAAGTTTATATTCATGAAATCACTCTTACGCCTGTTGACCAGAGGAACAGGTTTGGTGATTTGAGGATATGGATCCAAAGATAACAGTCGCTCGCACAATTCACTTAGACCCAGCTCTTGAATATGGGCTAAAGTTGCTTGTGCTTCTTCCACGTAGAAAGCATCCGGACCCATATTATTTTCTGATGGTTCAGTACAACCTCCTGCTTCCATTAATACTGCCAATAAATCCTGAAAAGAGAATTTACATGAATCACAAGAAAATATAAGCCTATTCAAGACACTTCAATGGAAGATTTTCGCATATAAAGTGAAACTTGCTGAAATCAGATAAATGGAGATGTTTTCTTTGCTCCTCCGTATTAATATTAATAGACAAAGTGTAACAACGGCACATTCCTTTTGACAAAATTGTGTTTGAAATTGATGAAAGATGCAATGACAACTCTCAATAGATTTTCGCTTTTTAAATCAATGAAAACTATGTATTAGGTTGTTTTAAAAGTTTTGTCCATTTTAATGTTTCTGTAGCTCCATATCTCAATATACAGTGTATTTCTTTAATGCCCCCCCTTTTATTTTTTGAACAGGTCAACTCAAATAATTGANTTTTGAAGATTATTACGGACGAACATTTGATATTGTGAGGAAGCAAGTTGAAATAAGAACATCCTCTGTAGATTCCAGTTTTTTTAAAGAATGCGTGATTAACCCTGCCCAGTCGCAAATTTTTAGAATTTCTAGTGGCATACTTTGAAATATCTCCGACTTTCTCAAAGTAATTGATGTTTGTTTTGACATACATTAGGATTTTCATGAGATATATACTAGTTAAAGTAGGGATGTTGTTCCGCATGAAAGTATCTCGGCAAATATACAGGGAGGTTGTTTTTTCTGATTGAGGCTATGAATTTTCCATAAAAAAATTAAAGAAATACACATTTAGAGTATATTGAAAAGTATGAATTCTACTATTATTTAATTTTTAAAAAGTTTTGGAATACTCATAATAATTTTTCTCTGCCAATTCTAACATAGACATAATAATACAGCTATCAATAATCTAGATTGTATAACCTTTCCGCAAACATCAACATACTCATACTTCTTGAATAAAGCTTATTAATGTATTCAAATGAATTCAATACCTTTGCACTCTCAACAACAAGTAAATACCTCCTTCCGTCTGGGACTTTCACGTTTGAGTTTTGAAGCCTATTGCACGAATATGGGAAAACTTCTTTCCACAGCACCAGCGACTTCACAGGTTCCGTTCTTGAGAGATGAAAAAGCCCTTGCAACTTACAAAAACAATAGACGTCAATCAGATCCTCGTGAATGAAATGTGTAGCGAGCAGATATCCTGAATGGAAGAGTGCGCTTCCTAATATAGTGAAGAGTCGTTGGCAGTCCAAGGGTTCTTCATTCTACAACAAAAACCTCAGTATTCAAATAACTACATTGAATGGGACAATGTGTAAAAATTCTGGGAACCGGCACATATCTCTGTAAACGTTTCCTAAGCTCACCCCAAACATGTTCAATGGGATCTAAATCCGGACTGTGCGCAGTCTTCCTTTCTTTGAAAAATTTACACATTTTTTTTTTTTAAAGATGAAGAAGTAGAAAGCCAAAACCTTTCTTAAGCAAAAATTATTCTCTCCTAAAGATATACCCCTTTCAATTTAAACTATACAAGTATTACCTCAAAATTCTTAATAGAGAATGGTTTTTCTGTAATTTTTGCATTTAAGTTTGTCTCTTTTACTACAAGAAAATAATGATATTGTGAGGTTCATTTTTCAGTGCGAGTCATGAACATTTTTTATGGAAATGGCCACTCGCATTAAAACGTTTAAAAATCTGTTTAAAACCTGTTTTTTCGTTAACCAGCTGTCGCACCCCTACGAACGACAACCCTCAGAAGTCGAAACTTGTGCGAGCTATGGATTAACGAGGCCTTACCTTTTAACGTGTGATTCCTAACACGTTGAGAAAATGATTTCATATTCTATCGAATGATTTAAAAGTCATACAGAATTATCTTCACAATTCCTTACTTATACTAGCAACTCACCCAATCTCTGTAATCACTTGCTTCTAATTCAGAGAGCGCATCATCGATTTGTACCTGTGCTTCATCAGGCAGACACAAAGTCTGAGCCACCGTCATGACTTCTTCGAATTGAAAACTTCCCTCTTCCAAACCTAAATTCTGGAGTAGAGAGAACTCTTGCATGGTTGTCCAAGGCCTGCTGCTCAAAGTCCTCGTGAAAAACCTCATAAAAAAGTGATCGATCTGACTGAGGTGTTGCTCCGAAGAAAAACTTTTATCCACAGTTTCGTAGCAGAACTGTAAATGCCTTATTATTTCGTTATTCATCAATATAATTTCTTCTTTTTTAGCTCGATAGTTCGGCAACATAAAAAGAAGCAAGTTCTTGTTGAAGTTCGTGTAGACGACATGAGTTGAATGTCCGTTGCATTTCATTGAAGACACTTTCGGTTTTGTCGCAGTCATTTCCTCCAATAAATGGTTCAACGTTATGAACATTCCACGTGATTGGCAAAGGACATTTTTTTGGATAGGTTTTGGAAAGCAATAGGTGACATCTTCGTTATTCTGATTAGTTTCACTGAGTTTCTCAGTATCAACATAAACGATACCAGCTGAATATTTGCATAAGGCTTCCAGCAAACTGTCCTCTATGTCTGATTTAGAATTGAGCAGTTCCCTGACGAAATCTGACTCGATGTTCAACTCATTTATGGGGGGATCTTTCGTTACTTCTATACCTGCAACTCTCTGTAGTTTCAGAAGAACATCATCTCTATTTATGAACTTCTGAAGGATGTCGTCCAAGTTATGAACGTTTACTTCGATATTATTAATACTTTTCAACCAGTCTCCGATTTTGATGTTTCTCTCTTGCTTCGCTTTACTATCATATGAAAAACCAGCTATCATCACTCTATTGCCATCTGACAAAGTGCTTACTATCAAACCTAACAAAGACTCTGCAAGAGATTTGTCGCTGCTCAAGTTATGTCGATTTTCAGAATCAATCTCTAACATTACTTCTTTTTCTTCGCCCTCTTGAAAATCCTAAAAAATATTATCAAATGCCTGCATGATATCAAGTGAAACAGATAAATGTTATTTGTGTTTCCAAATCGAAGATTTTATTTCAGAAAACAAAATAAACCTAACATTAATGTTCAATAAAATGCGAACAAACATAAAATACCTGAAATTTCACTTTGGATGTGTTAAGTTCATTAACGTCAACTAATTTTTGGTTCTTCTTACTGCGTCTCTTACTTTCACGCCTTCTTAGAAGTCTCAAGAATTTGCCTCTGGTGCTACGTCTCAATTGGCTTCTTGCTAGAGGTTCTGGGGGTGTCTTGCTCTTGGATTCCTTGTTGTTTTGAACAACAAATGGATGGCATTCAATATAAAGTAATTCCCCGGTGAAGTCATCTACATACGGTTCCCAATCGGGTATAGTACTGAAACAGAAAACCCCTGCATTTTTTGTATATTCCCTTTCCTATTTTTATGAGAGATTGGTTCTTGAGAAACAGAGATATCTATGTAACTGCACCGATGTATAATGAGTTTCAATTGAATTTATATTCATATCTTTTGTAGTTCAGTCTACTGAACCTAATATTGCAAATGCCCAATTTGTTATATGATGATATTAAGTTATATAGCGTTTCTGTCTTTGAGATCTGTTTCAATTCCATTACGAATGTTTTGAGTACAAACTGAATAGAAAGCGTTTTTGGTGTGATTCAATGTTGATTTTCGAAAGTACTTTGTATCTGAGAGAAACCTTGCATGATCCACACATTTATGTATTCAATATTTTTCCTCCGTTCTTCGGAAGTTTACCAATTTCTATGTAATGAACGAGAAATCCCTTTATTCAATGACATATTCACAATGAAAGTATATAAATGGTATCTAAATATACCTATCTGAATCTGAGTAATAAGAACTGTAACTTGACCCATCGCTCCATTCCTCTTCATCTGTACAGGTGCTTTCGCTATTATTCAAAGTCACTGCACCTAGAAGTCTCTGAGATTCCATCGTTTGAACTCCCGAGATAGCGACAATACACAATAACTGCTGGAAAGAACGTGACAGTTTAATTTCAGAAACCTTGTAAACAAAAACAAAAAACATAACCTGAATTCAAGGTTGTCAAGTTCAGGGTTATTGAACACGAGCGTTATAGTATTTTCCATTGGTAAAACTAGTGTTGATCTCGTTTTGATCTGATACTACACCATTGTTGATGTAATAATAGTATCAATTTAGAATGCACAAAAACTTGAAAAAAAGATATGTGACCAAACATACTCATATTATATTTGATTTAATTATCATCAAGGTTCTAATACAAAATCAAGTTGATATAAATCATTTGTGTGAGGCTACTAAAGTTGAAGGTCTACCTCCATGAGTTGAAAATGATGTACCTAAACTAAATGGCTAAACGTATTTATTTACTCTTTTTTGAATAGTAGTTATGGATTTGAGTGTTATGAATTACAAACTTATTTAAATAGATTGGTAATAGGTTATTCATCATTTTATAAATATAAATCATAGTCATCACATTTGTAGATGAATTTTTAAAATATATTCATTGAATGGCATATGTCTAATACATTCTTTGAAAAAAATGGTTTATGATGAATCTTTCTGTTAATCAGCTATCGTCCTTCTACAAACGGTAACCCTCCGAGTCCTAAATTCTTCAGGAGACTTGTGCGACCAATGGATTAATGAGGTCTTACCTTTTAACGTGCGATGACTAGTAGGTACCAGATGATACGCAGAGAACACCCATCCTCCTCTTAATGAGGAATCGATTCCGATCGAGAGGTTGCTTCATGAGTGGTACTTATTCATTTCGTTGAGCAAGCTAATTCATTTTATAGGTAACGTACACGTGCTCACAAAATTAAAGGATCACAGAGTATTATCAGATCGTTTAAAAGATGATTATTTCAAAATAAAAAACCCATAATTTGCTGAAATAATGTCAATCCATCAAGAGGAACCAAAAAAAAAATAAGGGTTTTTTTTTCAGTTCTGGGGGGAAAATGAACTGTTAAAAAATTCAATATTTATTTCAAATTTTGTTTCAAAATTTCAAATTTTCAATTTCAAAATTTATGCCAAATAATGTTCCCTCAGAAAAAATTAAATTTAAGAAAGGTCTTCATCCTCATAGGTTCTAAGATACCTCTTTTCTTTAGCTCGATTTTTCAGAAAAATTTACCATTATAAAAATTTAATATATCACTGTAGGAATATTGTATTTTCAGTTTATGACTACTTGTTTATTGAGTGAAAGAGAATTAGAAAGCGAATAATCATTTTTATTTCTTTGGGTGATATTTCCTTTTGCTGTACTACAGAAAAAATTGACGGAGAAAATTTGTAACACATATTTCTTCAACGAAGTTCACTTTTGTGAATTTTGCAAAATATTTCATTGGCTATCGAGGAAATAAGTTGAATTATTCTTTCATATAATGGTGAGTGAAGTTAATAATTTCCACCAATTTCGAATTCCCCCCCTAAGAAAACATGAATGAAATAAAAACATTTTTATTCAATGCTAAAAAGTTAACAATCGAAATAAACATGAATAAGTGTATAAGGTTGAAATATAAATAAGACAGTTGAAGCTACTTCGAAATGTGGATTCAAAAAATTTAATCTTATATTTTTAGGAAAAAAAACATTGCTAGCCTTAGATTAAACCATGAAACTGGTACAAGTACTGATACTGATATGTCTGTGGTTTCTATGCAGTTTTCTTCTCGATATAAGAATGTAACTACAAAATAATCAAGGTTTTCGATATAGTATCACTGCCTTTGAAATGAAGCTGCACAAAATGATATCCTAATCTAAGATATACTTGGACCACTGGTGTTTCTTTTAAGTTGTTATAAATATGAACTCACCTAAGCGTAATGTGTATTATTCCATTATCAAACTGATAATGCAATATGATGAAAGATCAAATATTGAAATGAAATATTCATTATTTCAGTAAAAGCTACTTTGTCAGTCATTGTTATTCATTAAATTATTTAATACGATTAGGATAGACAAAGAATGAAGGAGTTTCAATTCACATTGAAATCAACCGGAATGGTTAATTAGGAAAATATGTCTTTCACAAACTCCTTCATCCATTTACACTAATAATCTCCTGTTGAAATTTCAAAACAATACAAAATAAATTGTAAAAATCACTGTCAATATAGGATAGTCAGATTATCGACAAGAAGGAAACAGCTTGGAAAAAATTGGTCCTGTGGATAAATGCAAACACTTTTTATAAAACATTTTCTCAATAGAGGATTTCCGTATACAAAGATCATTTTTCAAATTTCTTCTCAGCTATATTTTTTTTGGAATTGTATATCTTTATTTTAGAGTGAAACCGGTAACAAATTTAGGTATGTTTAACAAAACGTAACTTATGTATTACAGTAAATAGGACTACAATTGATAAAGGACAGAGTTTCAATCGAGGGTTCTCTACAATAACAAATAGATAACAATTTGGCACCCGAAGGTCAAGTTAACAAAAAACATTCATCACAATTTTTTATATAGGAACCCATAATTACAACCATACCTTTAAATATAATAATATGTTGAGCACAATCATATAGAGCAGTAACGAAGAAGCTTCTAACTCATGCGTATCAACATTTATTAAAATATAGAAATTCTCTTGGACAATACTTTCTAAATTCAGTTTATAATATTCTCAAAAGCACAGGCAAGTCTACAAAACAATTATTGTAATGACTCTGTTAACTGTAATTTCATTAATAAATTTGTGTTAGCTTTGTTAAATTTTTAGTAATGTTAGTTCTGAGATAAGATATTCCAAACATGAGAATGGCTCAACTGAACAAATTAAAACCAATTGAAGTGCAAAGTGTGAATCAGAAAAAAATAATATCACCTGGAACATTTTTTGATTCGTGTTGTGATATTAGTTTTGCAAAATGTTAAGGGAGATGTGGTTGCCTTGTTTTCCTAGCAATGCATTTGTGGTTTAGCCTAGTACCACTGACGGATCCTAAGGCAGGTTGAAACAGCACTATCACAAATACATTGTGTTTGGGCTCCGTATTTACTTTTAATTCACAGTTATTAAAATGAATCATACTGAGTATAAGTAATATAAATAAGAGTTCATTCAAATATTTCAAATATGAACCCGGATTAGTTGAAAACTTTACTTACATGGCCCACCCACAAATGATAATGAACATTTTCATTCATTATCACAGTGGTCATTTATAAGTTGCTTCCTTAGCTGTAAAATCATACTCTAATCAAAGTATTACACTCAGTTGATTTAAATTTTTCAAAACTCAATCGTCAAACTGGGAGTAGTAATTGGTTTCATAAACATATCAATTGAAATTTCCAACATATGAATCAGAATCAACAGTAAACGTTAACGAAACGTATAGATCTCCCTCTACCAAAAAATATTTAACAATTACTTAGTTTTATTTTCCGCCAAGACACGATGACTACTTCTAACAGATAACGGAGAAGATATTTTAACGCTACTTGATGATTTGGTCTTCTTCAACTTCACACCGTGGACCTTCTGAAGGGTTCTTTCGTGGGCGTAAAGCAAGACTCCGATATGCCGGTGACCAGCTTCCATTGCAACTTTAAGCGCCGTACTCCCATCAACGTCTGCTATGGTGGAATCACAGTCTGGTTGACTCAGAAAATGCTTGACTATCTCAATGTGTCCATGCTCAGCAGCACACATCAATGCGGTACTGCCATCTTCGTCCTGAATATTGATGTCAGCTCCTGCTTCTAATAGCAGCTTCACCATATCCAACCTGCCATGACTGACTGCCAACATCAAGGCTGTTTGACTGTGCTGCTTTGCACGAATGTTAACATCAGAGAGCTGGAAAAGCCTCCTAACAACGTTGGCGTCAGTTTGTGACCTCACTTCGGCCAAAGAAACTAACATGATGCACGTGTAGCCAGCTTTGTTCTGCTTATTGACGTCACAAACCTTCGAGTCCAGTAAAATGGAAACAACGTCAAAGTTCCCATGTGAAACAGCATAGTGCATAGCTGTGTTTCCGCTGGCATCAACCAGGTTAACCACATACTCCAACAGCAGGTTCGAGAGGTCTTCCAAGGCATCCAAATAGTCCTCAACATCAAGTGGGTTCGCTACCGGTGAACTAGAAATCCTGAACCACTCTTCTTGAATGATATTTATAGCACTGTGGTTTTTGACATTTTTGGAGGAGTTTTTCAACAAAGAGTCATTAAGTACTTTCATGGCAGCCTGCATTTCTTTACTGGGGGCGACCTTCTGCCTACTCTGGCTCGGTTCAATATATTGAAAAATAGCAGAGTCGGAGGTGGGTAGTTTGTATTCATGAACCTTAGCTTCAATTAGTGTGGGAGTACTGTATTGCCTAGATACTGGTGCTTCTGCTATCGATGGAATCTGCAGGTCTTCAGAGGAACGGATTCCATTTGACATATCTTTAGGAGACAGGTCTAGATCTGACAGCTTAGATATGGGAGAAGGTTTTTCACTAGGAGGTGAATACACCTTGGTGTACGTATCCTGTCTCCTGAATTTTCTAATTTCCACAGGAGTCGTTGGTATTTGAGGTCTAGGAATCCTAGACGGTGTTGGACTCCCTTCTTCTTTCTTGTGGATTTCTTTAGCTTCCTCCTTGTCTTTTTCACATTTTGCACAAACTAAGACCTCGGTAACATTGCAGCCAAAATCTGATGTCTTTATTTTACTTTCTTTTGCTTCACACCCAACATGCTTAGTTTGTACGGCGAAGTCTTTTGTGTCAGTATACTTGGAAAGAGTGTACTTTTCATACTGTGTGTTCTTATCGCAAGATTTAAGATCATACTGGCAAGATTTTGTAGAAGATTTCACTTTGATATCTGACTGACAAGATCTATTTATACTATTTATTTCATATTGTGATGATGCATTACGTGTTCTCGAGGAGAGATTCAGTTTATCCTCTCCCAAATTGAAAGATTTGCTCCTAGAGGTTAACGAAGCTAGCGATATTGGCATAGTATGAGTGTCATTTTTCTCGGGACCAACACCTATTGACTTTTTAATTGCGTTACATTTCACGCAAATGTTTTCATCAATAGTATCATCTGAGCATCCTACCGAAGAGCATTCTATAAATTTCTGTGTCAATTTATCTGATACTAAAACTTTCGCTAATATTCCTTTATGATCAACTTTTCTCTTTATTTCATCTGTTTGAGTAGACTCTGTCAGTTTTAATAGTTGTGCTTGCTCATTTTGGAATTGAATCCCTACATCTATTTTATCTTTTGGTAATGTTGTCTGGGTTTCTCTAGCAACTGTTAATTTTTTATAAATCTGATTAGACAATGAATTTTGAGCATTTAAAAATTGAACTTTTTCTTTGAACCATTTGTCACCAAGCTCATTATCTATGGTTCCTGTCGAAACAGATTTTGTACTGGGGTTTTGATGTCCACTACTCACATCTCTGGTTGAAACACCACACGTGATGCCAATATCTTTCTGAGGTGGTTTGATAAATTGTGTACTTTGTTGAGCTGGTTGAATGTGATTAATATTTAAAGAATTCATACCTGTTGAATCTTGGGTTTTCAAACGATGGAGCAAACTTCGATTTTCCTCTTTTAGGCAAGAAATTTGACATTCCAATTCAGGTAGAAGTTTTACTTGCTCTTCCAACTCCCTCGTTCTCTCAAGGCTCAAAGCCATTTGTTCCCTGATATTCTGTAATGCCAAAGGACTCAGTCCGTAAGTGTCCTCATCAAAATCATCCTTAGTAGGCACCATGTGTGTTATGGGCAAAGCTGCATTGCTCGAGTCTGAGCTTGAAGAATCGGACGATATAGACAGCCCTCTTTGTAGAATTCCAGAAACTGCAGTAACATCGGGAAGATTATTGGACAAGGTATCTTTAGATCTATGGAGAGTCCTTTCAAAATCAGACACGGCATCGTCAAATCCATCAGAAGTATATGCATATTTGCTTTGTTGGGTATTTGAATTTAGTGGTGGCGATAATAAACTGGAGGGCGAAGAATCCTGCTCTTCTATAGGCTTGTAACTCTGTTCCAAAATTGCTAGGACAGGAGGTGTTAGTCCCAGCAATACTTCCATGGACTGTCTCTGCCTTCTTCTGTCCTTTCTTCTCTTGATTGAACCTGTACGATTATCAGCCTCTTTAATAATTGATTCACAGTATCGTACGAAATCGAGGTCGATGTGGTAGCCATAAGGACAGCAATTGCACTCATACCAAGAGTAACCATTTTCATTAGTTTTTCTCATTTGATTGTTGACAGGTGGGGTATAATTTGGATATGGCATAATATTTAATCTCAAATTGAATTGGCAATTGGCTAAAGCTTATCTTCCTCGATTAGAGTCTCATAAGAGAGTTTAAAATTCAACAGGTGCATGACACAACAGTGCAATTTAGATAAGTGAATGTACGCCTACCAGGCTCCAGAAGAGGGCAACGGAAAACATGAAGAATTATTCCAAAGGACGTAGTTCTCACTATTCACTAAGTTGCATTGAAAAATGTAATTGTTAACTTCTTCATTACGTGAAAATATACAATAACAAGAAAAAAAAACTGAATTTTACGATTTACAACGTTGCCAAAACATATGGGTGTAATCTCTCCGATTTTAAAAGTCGAAAGGATAGCTTAGTTCTCACTCGCTGTAGCGTTTAAAAACATCTGTTGTGAGTAATAAGCACATGAGATTATTAACGTTTTTATTTTCCGAAATGTGATAATCTTTGATGTGTTTCGTTCAGAAATACTTCTATTATTTGGAATACATTCCCCTACTAATACCTTATTGATATATTTTTTTCAATAAATTGATGGATGTAGCCGTTACCACGTGGTGGAAGATCATCATAAAAATTGAGAAATGAAACTTCCAATATTTTTATTCCACTTGTATTTGTAACTAACGTTACTGCAGTTTCGTCTTATACGGAAATTTTCATCATTGAAAATTATCGTTAATTTTAATATATCTAACTTCTTCTCTTGTCCTTGTTTATCTAGACTTGAAATTACACGTTCATATTTCTGTTAAACTTCTAATCATTCTGATACAGAAAAGACGTGTGAATTCAGTAATACTTGATTAAAACATAACAATTTTTCATTTCACCTTGAAGTGATGGTAATTCAATACTATGATATATATTTCAAGCCAATTGAAGTTTAATGTATATTGATTCTTCGGAAATGCTCGAGCTTTGGACTATATCTGTAAGTACCAGAAGCAACAGGAATAGTGATATCAAAATTCCTTTCTGTAGAATCAATTATCTACAAATTAGACAATATGTAGGACTTCAAGTTCAGAAAATGATTACCAATTTTCCCTAGTACTTGAAAAATAAATTTAAAGATTTTTTATTTAATTAGAAAAATAATAAATAAAAATTCACAACATTTAATTAACTTTGAAGTAGGTACATGAAACTGAAGCCAAAAATCATATCATATGATATCAATAGGAAGACATAATTGTATTACCATAATTTACATATATTTCAAAGAAGAAACATCCCCTGAAAAAAATTTACGGCGGCCGCCGGTGGTATTCATCAATCAACTCTGCGTTTCTCGCTTGTTCTACGTGTCGCACCGCTTCCAGAAGATTCCTATTGGCTTCCAGATACTTCCATCAGGATATAAACACTACCAACAGGCAGATGAAGGAAGTCTAGTTGAAAGTGCGGTACGAAGTGGGCTAATAAGACGATTGACATTCGAGTATTGGTCTGAAGTTCAGTTGAAGCTTTTGTGTTATATTGACAGTGTAGTAGTGAAATAAAGTTGATTTCAATTGTACAGTGTGGTCAATTATTGTCAAACCCACAAGGAAAACGTAACAATATATTTAATACTGTTTCACATTTAGAAATTTCTCAAATTACTATATGTTCATACAATATATTCCTAGCTGCTATAAGATTTCCATTATTTTTGTAAATAAGGTGTAAATTAAAAGCAGCTTCATATTTCAAACACAAGATGTGTGGGTATTTCTCCAAAAGTTCGTTGTGCACTTCAAATACCTTTTTATAATAGTACTCTGCTAGGTAAATTATTCCCAACTGGTGATACATCCTGCCTAGATTGTAGTATACCTCATGAGCTGCCTTTTTACTTCGTAGCATAGAGTAATTCAAAAATAAATAAGTTACAGTTTCGGCGAGCATCTTCTTTTTACTGCGATCAATGTTCCTCTGGAATTGATACTGCAGCATGACGATGCTCAGCATGAAAGCAGAATAGGCAGAATTGGTCTCCTTCAAATCTTTCAAGAAATAATTTATTCCCGAAATGTAGTTTCCTGTCCATACATCATTATTAGCAACAATCTTTCGTCGTTTCTCTAATATATCTATGTGTAAGGCCGAAGATCTCTCCAGAAACCTTGTGTGCCGAATATCATCGGGTGTTGCCGTCATTATTCCGAACCAATTCCAACACAGATTAACTTTTGGGTACCTTATGAGAAGATCTCTTATTATGTTATAGCCATGGAAAATATCGGAGCATAATAAGCACGAGAAAAATGCCATCAAGTAGATCTCATCTGAAATCATAAAGTATTGTTTTAATTTTCAATAGTTATGAAGCACCGTCAAATGAGGTGACTCTCGACACCATACACTGAACTTATGAAAGGATCTGTCCAAGTAATAATAATAATAACCTAATCTCCACGAAACTAGATCTTCTGATCTCATTCCTCTATTTTATGTGTACCTTTTTGAAGATGAAAAATTAAAAACAGAGTTTACATTGATGTGAACCTTGAGATAATGAATAACGGAAAAAAGTTGTGAGCTATCAATGACAGGAGCACAGTGAAAAGTATTCATAAAAGTGGTATGGTAAACAGAGTACTTCAAAATAATGATAAATTATTATTTATCAATAACTTATACTTACTAAAATATTTAGTGAATCTTTTAGAGCATAAGCCCATGAAAGTAAATTTCTGCAGGAGACCATACTCTTCCTTATCTTTTGCCATTTGTAATATTTCCTTATAGAGATCATACTCTTCCTCTACACTTGGCTCTCTAATGCTTACAAAGTCGGTCTCGATTTCTGTATTTTCGCTTCTAAAATTCCTCATCTTCTTCAATCGAACAGCTTTTTGGTTATAAGTATCTCTGGTCATGACTATTTTTAGTTCTTCCGAATATTTCAAAACTATACAATGTCTCGATAAAAGTAGTTCACAACTCTTCCAGTAACTTTTCCAATCATTGATTTGTCGAAGAAGCTTCATTTGTTCAATCAGTACAGCAACATCTAACTTATTCGTGCTCAAGTCTTGGGATAGCACTTGCAATGCTTCTGTTCGTTTGTTCTGTTTAAGAAGCAACATTGCCAAAGGATACAACGCCTCTATGTGTGACGGTGCAAGTTTCATTACTTCGTAATAAGCATCGGTTGCCTGTTCAAGCATTTCGCAGGCAGCCAAACACTCAGCATATTTCAGCCAAACCCCAGCAAGAGAAAAACTCTTGCTCTTTACTAACGGCACGAGTAATTTCAATGCTTCTTGTTGGTAATCAGTAATCATGAGTGCCTCTACTACATCTAAATATAAGTCACCAAACATTTCGACATCATCTTCAATGAGCATTTCATTAATTAATTGTGGAAATAAATTATCCGCTCTCAACTTTATCAAACAAATGATGAATTTTATTTTGAGGTCGATTTGAAGATTTTCAGGTGAAATATACGTATTTACTATAATTGTGTTGTTTTCAGTGACACTGATATCAAAACTGAATCCACAAAATTCTGTGAAAATATCAAGACACTTTGAATAGCATTCATTGATGATATACAGTTCCAATATCATATTGATAAGATCATTTGTTACTTCTTTTGGTATTCTTCTGATCGGAATTTCCAAAGTTTCTATAGCAGAGTGATATTTTTTATCTTTAAAATACTCTTTGGCTACTTCCATCGATACATTCATAATCAGTTTAGAATGCTTCACAGATATATTTCTAACCATAGTTTGCTTATGACTGAGAAGAAGTTTAGTTTCTCCTGAAAATGATATTTAAAAAGTTATTTCTAATAATTAATTAAATAGTGGTGATTATTTGTTTTGGAAGCCCACAATAGTTTTCAAAAAAATTTTTATCGGACTTGGCATTTTTGTCTGCCGATCATATCTTCATTTCACGATTGAAAGCTGGGGATCTTCAAAACTATATTTTCACTTCACATAAAAGATATGAAAGTTAGAAGGGTTTTGCATGTACAGCAATAAAAAAAAGTGGCGCCACATTTTGATTTCAAATTTGTGATTGGTGGACAAAAGTACATGTTTGAAAAAAAAATCCAAATACTAATGTGAGCTGTTGAAATGAATATTCACGGTTATTTTCAACAAATCAATAAATAATAGTTTTCTCACCTTTCTTTTCCAATAAGTCAATTTTCTTGAGATATATACTTATATCTGTTTTAAGATATCTCAGTGTTCTAGAGTAACATTTGATTGCTTCATTTATTTCTCCATCTTGTAAATATAATTCAGCCAATCTGCATGCTATATCCTTTTTACCGGGAGCCAAGTGATTTGCTAACATGAGATAAGCTTTATGTTTTTTTGAATTTGTATTTTCATACACTTGAGAAAGAGTTAAGTAAGGTTCGTAAGCTTTGGATTCCTGCCTTATTACCTCGAAACACATTTTTTTGGATGTTTCTAGATCACCTTTAGCGTATCTTAAATTAGCTTCACCCATCAAACCTTTCATATGAACAGAAAGCTTACTCACAACTTTTCTTCTTGTAGAAAAGTCATCTTCAACTAGAAAATAAAATAAAAATTAATTAATTTTCATAAAGCAACAGTAAAAGATGACATATCCACAGACGTGATCTACAGTATTAATGTTTGGTGTCATGAAAATAATGTTAATTCAGATGGAACATCTGGAAGAAGTGTTCTCAAATAAAAAATATCCCTTTCAAAGTCTGGACATTAAAAGATTGGTAGAACTCAGTTTGAGTAGTTAGAACTACAACCTTTTGACATTCAAAATCAAAGATCCAAACTTTTACCACACTATATTTTTCTATAACCTAGCCCATACTTTTACCGTCTTCCTGTTCACTATGATCATCACTGTTTTCATTTTCTGAAATAAAGTCCATTTCTTGATCAATTATTGCATTGCTAGGCCCAGGAACATTTATCGGGTCTGAATCAAGTTCTTCTATATGGATTGGAATATTTTCAATCTCAAAGTCCATATTCGATGTTGTAATATTTGAAGATTTTTGTATTATTGTATCATGTGCTATTGTAATATATATTTATAATTTTTAAAAATTTTGAATCAACAACATAACCCTATTCCTTCTTTGTTTACACAGAAAATATATCAGAAAGCATCTATGATTTCTGTGATAGATTATGCAGATTGGAGATCACAGAACGTAGAAATAGAAATATGTATTTCGAAGTGCCTTTAAAAAATTCCATTCTAGAGAATCCAACGTAAAATTTTATATGGTAGGAGTGTTCTAATTTCTAATATTTACTCCGTTAATTTAACACTTCTCAGGAGTCTATTCTTTTCACTTTTCCATTGTTCGGTTAATAAAAGCGAATGCAAAATTTAGTGCTCGATATTTCAGGAGTGAAATGAGAAAAGGAATAGAATTGCTGTTTCTAGGCGATGGTTGTAATATTTGTAAATATTGTAAACATAACCTCAAATGAAATAATTGGTTATTCTTGATAATTCAAAAGTGGTTTTTGATTTTTTATAGTTATTCAGTTTGATTTTTGTTTTAAATTTTAAATAATATGTCTGACGAGAAAATCGAGAATCTTAAATTGGAGATCAAAAATCTTCAAAATGAGTTGTTTCTCAAGAAACGATTATTGCAGGAATTATTAACAAAAGAGGTGGGACTTTTATATAAAAACTGAATCCATCTTTGAACTCATTTCCATTTTGCATATTCAGATCAAATCAACCTACTGCAATAACGCTTTCTCAACTGAGGAAGTGGTACGGTATAGTCGCCAGATGATAATGCCTGATGTAAGTGTAGCTGGTCAAATTTCCTTGAAGAAGAGTAGAGTTCTTATTGTAGGGGTGGGAGGACTTGGCTGCCCAGCTTCATTGTATCTGGCAAGTGCTGGAGTTGGTAAATGATCTCCTTATTCCATTTTTCATTCACTTTAATTATTTATGCTTTAGGACACATCACCTTAGTCGACTATGACGAAGTAGAAATTTCCAACCTGCATAGACAAGTTTTGCATTCTGAAGATGATGTAAATGTACCCAAAGTAGAATCTGCATTCAATAAGCTCAGAAGGTATTTTATTGTAAAAACTTGTAGGAAAACTTAGAAAAATATTTTTTGGAATGCATGAAAAATATGTAATGAAAACTCTTTCAGTCATCAGTAATATTTTTTCGATATATAGAAGAAATGATTAGTTTCCAACAACTATTTTCTTCTCCTACAAATTATTTTTGCCCCCATATCTTCGAAACAAACCCTATCAAAAATCATCAAAGGACAAAATATCCTTAGAATAGTCCAAGGAATAGTCCCTTAATTTTTTGCCGCATGTTTAATGAACACCCTGTATATACCAATATGATTTATTTTATGCTGCAAGAGTCCAATGCGGATCCGTGAAGAACGATCATTTAGCCTACTTTGATGCATTAAGTAGGTAGTTTCTTTATAAATTTAGAAACCCAAAGAAAGGTTTTCCAAATAATCATTAATGTGTTTAAAAAACACTTTTTCATCAATTGTAAGACTTGTTAACTTCATCTACATGTTCATGGAATGCATCATTTCTATTTGTAGGATAAACAGCAACATAAAAATTGTTCCAATCAAAGAACATGCCAATTCTGAAACAATAAAGAACATTCTGGAGAATGATGAATATGACGTAGTTGTAGATGGCAGTGATAATGTTGCCACTAGATACCTTTTGAATGATATATGTGTTATGAAAGACATACCCTTGGTCTCTGGTAGTGCACTTCAACTAGAGGGTCAGTTAACGGTTTATCATTATAAAGGAGGCCCTTGCTATCGATGTTTGTTTCCTATTCCTCCTCCAGCGAACACCGTTACTAACTGTGGTGATGGTGGTGTTTTGGGGCCAGGTGAGATTTCATGATTTCATCAGAACTAAAATAATTGAAAATTTAATATTTTTTAATTTTATAGTTCCTGGGCTGATTGGTGTACTACAGGCTCTGGAAACAATAAAAATTGTAACAAATTCCACTGGAGTTTTATCAAGTCGATTTCTGACTTTTGATGGTTCAACTTGTACATTCCGGAATTTCAAACTTAGGCCTAGAAACCCAAAATGTGAAGTCTGTGGTGATGACCCTACCATAACCTCTCTGATAGATTATGAACAATTTTGTGGATCAAATGCCCATGACAAGGTATTTGAATTTCCTTTTATTTTCCGTCACGCTGACTCTCATGATGACTTGGGATATAAATATAAATTTTTATAGGTGGTTAACATTGATGTTTTGGAATCTCGACAGCAGCTAGATGTAAGGGATTTATCAAAAATTGGAAATGATGGCGTTCTTTTGGATGTCAGGCCTGAATTAGAATTTGAAATGTGCAGTGTACCTAATAGTGTGAATTTTCCTTACACTAGTATTTTGAAAGATTTGAAACCTCTCAGAAATTTTTTGGAAGAGAAATCGTTAAAGGGTGTGAAAAATGGTAAGAATTGAATACTAGATTTTTTTTGAAAAATTTGCAGAGTATGACAGTCAACAGTGACATTTGCTCATCAACTTCATCTATGAATTTTCATCAATTCCCATTTTAATCTCTGAATTTCAATAAACTATTAAATTTTGACTTCAATCTGAAATTAAATAGTAAAATTCAAACCAAGTAGCTATGACCCCCTCTGAATTCAAATTGGACGTTGACAAAATTTCTCGAATCTACCGTGGAATTAGGCCACAAAACAATTTTATATTTCATGATGAAATAAGTTTGAGTTCTGTGAATAAATCTCACTGTTGAACTTTCGGTATTTCATTTGTTTCTCGGTCCTTACTGATAATACTGCCTGGCAAAGTATGACTCTGTATTGACTGAAGAAAAATAAGACAAATCTATAATAATATTAATTTTCAGTTTATATATTATGCCGTCGAGGAAATGATTCCCAGAGGACAGTTCTTTATTTGAAAGATGAATTCAAAGATGGCTCTTTTGAATTTTGCAATGTGACGGGAGGTCTTCATGCTTATTCCAAATATGTTGACTCAAACTTTCCTGTGTATTGAACAATTACCCTGATGTTTTTTTATAATAAATGTTCATATCAATTGTTATAAATTTTGTTTGTCATTGAGTTCAATTCCCCAATTCATTGAAAACACTCGGTAACTACTAATTACTTTATTATGTTTCTTTTCAAACCTTAATATGAAATCCAAATTTAATAAAATTTCTTTGTGAACATCTAATTTGAAAAACTGTTAAATTTTTATGTATGTTTATACATTTTGTAAAAATATATGATCTTGACATTCTTTGTGAGTGGAAATTTACGAACTAGCAACCGACTAACAAAAGTTGATAAAATTTGTTAACTTCTGCGAAGTTCTTTCGAATTTAGAAAATACACAATCTCATAAATACGTCTTGGATAATTTTTCTCTTATAACGATTGTAGTTTAATCATTTCGGTCTATAATATGTGGTGAGCTGAAATAATTGCAATTGGTGCTTCCAGTTCCATACAAACAAATGATTTTGTAGGCAAATACTCTATGTCACACAAATATTAAATGATTTTACCCTGAAAATTGCTTCGGTCTCGACTCTCAGCCCAATGTCATTTTTTCAAGTGAAAGATTATATCCGTCAGCAATACTTTCACTATGGGGATTTTGAGAGATTTTTTTGTTGAAATAACGTATTATTTCGTATAAATTTCAATATAAAATTCAAGATTTACATCACTACCGTGCAGCCATGGTCCTTTCGAATAGGAGAAGTTTAGTTGAATAGTTCTGCTATCTGTGGCCAAGAGAAAAGAAAAATGCAAAGAAAGTTTCAAAACAATGGGAAGAAGAAATTAACCTTCAATAGCAGTTGTCAATGATTCTGAGTTGGGCATGTGAGTTTTGAATTGTAGAAAGTTTTTGGTACTTGAAATATAATATAGAATAGTAACTAGATTTGGGTGACAAAATGAAGTTTCAGTATAAGGTAATTGAACTGATAATGTTATGTTTTTGTTAAAACTAACAACTTTTTCAATTTCAGTTTCAAAATATTCTAGGAACAGTTTATAAAAAAGGAAATTTACTGTTTTCCTCTGATGGCAACTCCGTTATAAGTCCTGTAGGCAACAGAATAACTATATACGACCTGAAAAAGTGAGTTTAATATTAAAAATCATGTTCAATACATAGATTTTTCATACTTTTCTTTGTTACAGTAACAAATCAACTACTTTACCTATTGAAAGTAGATACAACTATGTGGCCTTAGATTTGAGCCCTAATGGATGTACACTCGTGGCAATAAATGAGGAAGGTGAAGCTCATATGATAAGTCTAATTTCCCAAACTATCATCCACAAGTACCGATTCAAGGGAAAGGTGAGAGCTGTTAAATTCAGTCCCGATGGAAAACATTTTGCTGTATGCAAAGACAAAAATGGTATGATCATGTAGTTAATTACTATGAAATAAGTCTAGCAAAGTCTTGTCAACTTTGTAAATTCACTTTGGAGTAATCTTTTTCAGCTGATGATTATCTCTATATTGTGTATATTTTTAGCATTTGTATTCAAAGCTCCAGGTCCATTTACTGGTGAATATAATGGTTTCATTATGGAAAGAGTATTTCATGGGGCATACGATGATACCACTTTCCTTGATTGGTCATTTGATTCCAGAATTTTGGCTGTTGGGTCTAAAGACATGTCTGCAAAACTGTATCCTCTAGACAAGTAAGTTCTTCAAAATTTGAAAGTGCAAAATTTTTCCATATTTGCAATTGATCTTTCACATTTTTTATTTGATTTTTTCAGATGGGCCAACTTTAGAATATATTCATTAGGTAATCACACAGATGGAATAGTGGGTTGTTTTTTCGAAAAAGATAGCTATGACATTACCACAATCAGTAGAAACGGTCAAACTTGTATTTGGGAATGTACTGTTGATCCTCAGGATATGATTCCTCATGACCTAGCTCCTCCTAAAAAAAAGAAGGTAAGTAATATGTCTGAAAAATTACAAAATTCATTCCAAAGGAAATTCTGAAGATGTTCGCAGTTTTTTTCTTCGCTGGTTCGCTTTATTTCTGAATGTTCTCGACAGATGTCAAAAGAGTTTTGCAGTGTGAAATATGTTGACGTTGTTGATTGACTTCTGAAACATTCAATATAGAACTACAGGTGGAAGGTGAAAATACCCAAAGAAGGTTGTTAATTCAGATATTCGCAAAATTTCACAGAAATGAAAAAGACAACTCTTCATAATTGTTAATAAATTCAAACAGTATTGTTTAGTGAACTATTGGGATAATTATATATCAGAAAATGTGGAAATCTTTCAAGGAAAAGAAGGAAGGAATTAATTTCAAAATATACTCTGCAAAGAAGTAACTTTTTCGAATGTTCATTAACAGTGGCAAATGTTTCACAGAAATTATCTGATGAATTAGATGAAGATGATGTTGATACTTCTAAATCTCTGGAACGAACGGAAGAAGAGATTACCAAAGCCTTAGGAGAAGTTGCCGTTAATGATGAGGAATCTAAAGAAGAAGGGGCGAAGAAGCTTTTTTATAAGAGAATTGCTAAACATTATTTGGCGGACGAAGTTAGGAAGAGCAACAGAGAAGCAGTTTTAACTTCTGCTGCCTATCACAAAAATACTCGAATTCTAGTCACAGGTAATTTTATAAATCCAAGAGTGATATCTGTAATTAATATGTATGTCCTTTTCAGGTTATTCTACAGGGGATTTTTTCATACATGAGTTACCGGACATGAACGCCATACATTCCCTCAGTATTTCTGAGCAGAAGATCTCTTCGATAGCTTTGAACCAAACTGGAGATTGGATAGCGATAGGTTGTAGTGGAATAGGACAGCTTCTTGTTTGGGAATATCAAAGTGAGTACAAGTCTTTTCTCCATTGTCAGTTTATTTTGGTTTTGTAAAATGTAGAAGAAATGATTCATGGTATATATTATCAGTCAATTGGCGAGTCTAACCTGAAGTTCTCTACAGGTGAAACATACGTAATGAAACAACAAGGGCATGCCAACAACATGTCCTGTGTGTCTTATTCGAAGGATGGACAGCTGATTGCCACAGGTGGTGAGGATGGGAAAGTTAAGTTATGGAACTTGAGTTCTGGATTCTGTTTCGTAACATTCACAGAACACAGCAATGCTATCACTTCTATAGCGTTTAGTGGAAATAAGAAGTTTGTTGTGTCGTCTTCTCTGGACAGCACTGTTAGAGCTTATGATATTTTAAGGTGAGTTATTGTTCAATTTATAGAAGATAGAGTGTTGCATTTTTTCTTATGATCCTCACAAATGTACCACAAACAAGAGAGTCTAACCTAGGAGTACCCCAAGGCTCAATATTGAGACCCTTGTTCTTTACAATATTCACATCAGACATAAAAAAAAATACTGCAATTATCCCGAACAAATTTTACTGTATGATACACATATTCTGATGTCAAACACCGACATTGAACAATTAATTGTGACAAAAACATGTTTTATGTGGTTTTTACCAAGGAATATTACACCTGACCAAAATATTTACCTACATATTAATGGAAAATCAATTGAAGCTATAAAAACAATGAATTTTCTGGGTGTTACACTAGATCAAAAATCAACATGGGAGGCCCATACAAAGATTGTATGCTCCAGACTAAGCACATGCTGATAAGGTATTTAGAGCACAGAAAAAATATTAGGAGCTATGTTCAATGTCGAAATGTAAAGACCTTTTTAAAAGATCACAAATAAAAAAACTTTGCCCAGCTTATACATATTTCAAATTATTACATATATTGAAGAAAATGAAAACAAGATCAGGAAAAATGAGGACTTGCACTCGCATGACACACGAATGAAATGAAGTCTGTGAGCTTAAATGAGATTTGAATATTTATGTATTTTTTGTGATGAATAAATTGATTTGATTTGGGTAATGATGAAGTTAAATGACCCCAATTGAATCGAAGCTTTGGATAAGGAGCCTGACTGACAAATGAAAAATGTAGTGTATAATAAACAGTTCATATTCATATCTTGTCGATTTTTGTCATTCATTGTACGACCTGTTCCTCACTCAAAAGTAGATTTTTGATGTTTTTGCTGAATCTGTAGAATAAGTTGGCAATTTAGCTTTGATAAGTTCAATAGCTTGCTTTTTTATTCTTTTCTTTCGTTTGTTGACAATTATTCTTTTCTGTGTTTGTCAGCGCTTTGATGTCGCAACTGGTTGGTATTATCCGCTATGAGATAAGGGATAATCATCTGAGGCTCATGTCATGGGTTTAATAGAGTTTTTCTATGTCAAAAAAAATCAGAATAATCTTCAATATGAATACAAGAGATTCCCGCAGAGGAGCCTTCAGGATCAACAAACTACTTACTGTGTCAGCAATCTATATCTATGAATCATAACCCCGAAACAAAAACTTTGTTGTGTTGTGTTATCAGATTTGCACCACCTCAAAAAGTTACAAAAAAATATCTATTACGCAATTTCTATATTTAGACATTAGTTTGCGAAAGTAGGCTAAATCAATTCAATACATTTCCAGGTATCGTAACTTCAGAGTATTCACTTCCACCAGACCAGTTCAGTTCTCTTGTGTCGCAGTCGATAGTAGTGGAGAATTTGTAGCTGCTGGTGGTCAGGATATTTTTGAAATATATTTGTGGTCAATGAAAACTGGGAAGCTTCTTGAAATACTTGCTGGACATGAAGGACCAGTGGTAAGTTCTCATTTTGTTAGTTTCACTAAATAATATCTCCGCTAAATAATATCTTCCCTGAATAATAACTTTAACATCTGTCTGCTAACCAACAAATTTGTGTTAATTTATTTTAATGAGTATGTATTCATATTTTTTACTTCTCCATTTATGACCACCATTGATTGTGGAATCTTAAGATGTTTGTAAGCTGATTTCAATTGCGCCATTTGTTTTGACATGTCTATAAACCTTGTGTTTCTCAAGACGAATAAAGTTATTATTCGTCTTCAGAAACACAAGAGAACAGAAAAAAAATCCAAAGAGATATTACTCTCAACTATAATAATAAAGTAATCACAGACAGAGATCATGTTGCGAACATATTTGGGGACTATTTCTCTTCAGTAGTAGAAAATAGCTTAGCAGACCATTTTGGCGACAATAGATCATCCGTATGCACGGTTTCTGGAATTGAATCGAATACTTTTTTCTTTATGCCCGTTAACGAATGTGAAATTGACGCAGTAATTAACAATCTAAAAAATAAAAAAAGTACAGGAATTGATAATATATCAGTGAGAATTTTAAAAGAAATTAAGTTACACATTTCAAAACATTTAGCTTATTTGTTGAATCTATCAGTCACAAGTGGCAAATTCCCTTCAATTCTAAAAACAGCCATGATCATACCAGTTCATAAGAAGAACGATACATCGGATATTACAAACTATCGCCCCGTGGCCCTGCTAAGCATTTTCTCAAAAATTTTTGAAAAGGTTGTGAATGAGAGAATATTAAGATTTTTATCAAGGTTTAAGATCCTGTCCGATTCTCAACATGGTTTTTGCAAAGGCAAGTCCACTCAATCAGCTACTTGGAGATTCTTAGAAATCATATACGCTTCTTTAGATAGGGGTAAGCATGTTGCAGGAGTATTCTTCGATCTGTCACGTGCGTTCGATTGTTTAAATTTTAAATTCATCGAGAGCAAATTATATAATCTAGGATTTAGAGGGGACTTCCTAGAATGGATCATTGACTTTCTTACAGATCGTAGGATGTTCGTCAAGATTAAAGATATGAAATCAGACTATCACGATATATGTTCTGGAGTTCCTCAAGGCTCTGTGTTAGGTCCGCTGATCTTTCTATTGTTTGTAAATGATCTGCCTACTTATTTCACCAGTAATGAACATGCTCTCACTCTTTTCGCAGATGACACGTCTTTAGCTGTATCA